GCAGCACCCACGCTGCTCCGGCAGAGGCACCGCGCAGGGGCAGTGCGAGGGGGCAGCTGGCCGCCGTGCTGCAGAAGCAGTGGCGGGCAGCAGCAGCAGCAGCAGCAGCAAGAGCAGACGCTCCACCACAGACGAGAAGAGTTCGTCCCGTCGCCACCACTGATGCAGTTGGAGTACCGCAGCCGCAACGCGGCATCGTACAATACGTAGCGACGTAGTAAAGCAAAAAGACATGTGCACAGCGAGAAAAGAAAAACGAGAAAACACGGTTCCTGCAACGTCTGCTCCGCTCTCCGCGTGCGACCGCCGTGACACACACCGACCGCACGGCTCCGCACCGGGGGCACCAAAGGGGAGGCTCGGCTCCATCAAAAGCAGAAGCGGGAAGAGTCGGACGAAGCGGAGAGAGAGAGTAGGACGAATGAGATTCGAAAACAACAAAAAAAAAGGAATAGCAAGAGAAAAGGCAAAGCGAGTGGCGGCAGGCCGCAGCAGCGGCAGCGAGTGCACAAGCACCTACGACGACGTGCTGCGCGCACTCGCCGCTGTCCACGCCCTCGCTGCACCGCTTGGCCGCACGCTGAGATGTGTGCACACTTCTGTTCAGAACGCAGCTACGTACACGCCTGCGGGTGGGTACGAGCAGCACCCCCCACCACGTCACATTAAGGGAAATCGGCAATCCGGCAAACAAGAAATACACATGACGGTGGCGCAGAGAGCCGCTCACGAGGAGACGGGAGGGGATGGCTTTGCACGCGTTGCTTTAGGTTGCGACGGGCGCTCCACAGCCGTCAACTGTCCACGGCGCACTACCAGGCAGCAGTCATGCCGCACACGTTCACGGTGGCACCCATGGCGGCCTCGGCGGTGTAGGTGACGTACAGCATGCCGTCGTCCGCCTGCTTGCACGCGTCGTGCAGCTCGCCAAGCGTCGTCGTCGGCGCAACGGCGCACTGCGCCACCGCAAGCGACACCGCCTTCCTCGCGTCGACGCCGTCGAGGCGGCGCACCGCGCTCGTCAGCTGCGCAACCGTCGCGTCGCGCGGCAGCACGCTGAAGTGCGCCTTGCCGCCCTGCGCGCTCTCCACCACAACGGGCACGTCGCAGCTCCCGGCGTTCAGGCTCGCGCGCTTCGCGATGCGCTCCTCCACGCGGGTCGACGACACGTAGGCGGACATGGCGGTATGGGGGAGGGTCGGGTAGGGTAGGGGGGGGTTGATGAGAGAGAGTTTGGTGGGTGCGGAGGCTGGAGAGCAGATCTGTGTGGTGCGGTGTGCCGCCGCGGCAGTGCAGGCGCAAGAGAGGGGGATGGAGGGAGAGAAGACGAGGGGGGCGGTGGGGGAGGTGGACACGCACAAAGACGGGGAGGGAGGGAGAACGCGGTGCAGGAGAGGCAGCACCCACGCTGCTCCGGCAGAGGCACCGCGCAGGGGCAGTGCGAGGGGGCAGCTGGCCGCCGTGCTGCAGAAGCAGTGGCGGGCAGCAGCAGCAGCAGCAGCAGCAAGAGCAGACGCTCCACCACAGACGAGAAGAGTTCGTCCCGTCGCCACCACTGATGCAGTTGGAGTACCGCAGCCGCAACGCGGCATCGTACAATACGTAGCGACGTAGTAAAGCAAAAAGACATGTGCACAGCGAGAAAAGAAAAACGAGAAAACACGGTTCCTGCAACGTCTGCTCCGCTCTCCGCGTGCGACCGCCGTGACACACACCGACCGCACGGCTCCGCACCGGGGGCACCAAAGGGGAGGCTCGGCTCCATCAAAAGCAGAAGCGGGAAGAGTCGGACGAAGCGGAGAGAGAGAGTAGGACGAATGAGATTCGAAAACAACAAAAAAAAAGGAATAGCAAGAGAAAAGGCAAAGCGAGTGGCGGCAGGCCGCAGCAGCGGCAGCGAGTGCACAAGCACCTACGACGACGTGCTGCGCGCACTCGCCGCTGTCCACGCCCTCGCTGCACCGCTTGGCCGCACGCTGAGATGTGTGCACACTTCTGTTCAGAACGCAGCTACGTACACGCCTGCGGGTGGGTACGAGCAGCACCCCCCACCACGTCACATTAAGGGAAATCGGCAATCCGGCAAACAAGAAATACACATGACGGTGGCGCAGAGAGCCGCTCACGAGGAGACGGGAGGGGATGGCTTTGCACGCGTTGCTTTAGGTTGCGACGGGCGCTCCACAGCCGTCAACTGTCCACGGCGCACTACCAGGCAGCAGTCATGCCGCACACGTTCACGGTGGCACCCATGGCGGCCTCGGCGGTGTAGGTGACGTACAGCATGCCGTCGTCCGCCTGCTTGCACGCGTCGTGCAGCTCGCCAAGCGTCGTCGTCGGCGCAACGGCGCACTGCGCCACCGCAAGCGACACCGCCTTCCTCGCGTCGACGCCGTCGAGGCGGCGCACCGCGCTCGTCAGCTGCGCAACCGTCGCGTCGCGCGGCAGCACGCTGAAGTGCGCCTTGCCGCCCTGCGCGCTCTCCACCACAACGGGCACGTCGCAGCTCCCGGCGTTCAGGCTCGCGCGCTTCGCGATGCGCTCCTCCACGCGGGTCGACGACACGTAGGCGGACATGGCGGTATGGGGGAGGGTCGGGTAGGGTAGGGGGGGGTTGATGAGAGAGAGTTTGGTGGGTGCGGAGGCTGGAGAGCAGATCTGTGTGGTGCGGTGTGCCGCCGCGGCAGTGCAGGCGCAAGAGAGGGGGATGGAGGGAGAGAAGACGAGGGGGGCGGTGGGGGAGGTGGACACGCACAAAGACGGGGAGGGAGGGAGAACGCGGTGCAGGAGAGGCAGCACCCACGCTGCTCCGGCAGAGGCACCGCGCAGGGGCAGTGCGAGGGGGCAGCTGGCCGCCGTGCTGCAGAAGCAGTGGCGGGCAGCAGCAGCAGCAGCAGCAGCAAGAGCAGACGCTCCACCACAGACGAGAAGAGTTCGTCCCGTCGCCACCACTGATGCAGTTGGAGTACCGCAGCCGCAACGCGGCATCGTACAATACGTAGCGACGTAGTAAAGCAAAAAGACATGTGCACAGCGAGAAAAGAAAAACGAGAAAACACGGTTCCTGCAACGTCTGCTCCGCTCTCCGCGTGCGACCGCCGTGACACACACCGACCGCACGGCTCCGCACCGGGGGCACCAAAGGGGAGGCTCGGCTCCATCAAAAGCAGAAGCGGGAAGAGTCGGACGAAGCGGAGAGAGAGAGTAGGACGAATGAGATTCGAAAACAACAAAAAAAAAGGAATAGCAAGAGAAAAGGCAAAGCGAGTGGCGGCAGGCCGCAGCAGCGGCAGCGAGTGCACAAGCACCTACGACGACGTGCTGCGCGCACTCGCCGCTGTCCACGCCCTCGCTGCACCGCTTGGCCGCACGCTGAGATGTGTGCACACTTCTGTTCAGAACGCAGCTACGTACACGCCTGCGGGTGGGTACGAGCAGCACCCCCCACCACGTCACATTAAGGGAAATCGGCAATCCGGCAAACAAGAAATACACATGACGGTGGCGCAGAGAGCCGCTCACGAGGAGACGGGAGGGGATGGCTTTGCACGCGTTGCTTTAGGTTGCGACGGGCGCTCCACAGCCGTCAACTGTCCACGGCGCACTACCAGGCAGCAGTCATGCCGCACACGTTCACGGTGGCACCCATGGCGGCCTCGGCGGTGTAGGTGACGTACAGCATGCCGTCGTCCGCCTGCTTGCACGCGTCGTGCAGCTCGCCAAGCGTCGTCGTCGGCGCAACGGCGCACTGCGCCACCGCAAGCGACACCGCCTTCCTCGCGTCGACGCCGTCGAGGCGGCGCACCGCGCTCGTCAGCTGCGCAACCGTCGCGTCGCGCGGCAGCACGCTGAAGTGCGCCTTGCCGCCCTGCGCGCTCTCCACCACAACGGGCACGTCGCAGCTCCCGGCGTTCAGGCTCGCGCGCTTCGCGATGCGCTCCTCCACGCGGGTCGACGACACGTAGGCGGACATGGCGGTATGGGGGAGGGTCGGGTAGGGTAGGGGGGGGTTGATGAGAGAGAGTTTGGTGGGTGCGGAGGCTGGAGAGCAGATCTGTGTGGTGCGGTGTGCCGCCGCGGCAGTGCAGGCGCAAGAGAGGGGGATGGAGGGAGAGAAGACGAGGGGGGCGGTGGGGGAGGTGGACACGCACAAAGACGGGGAGGGAGGGAGAACGCGGTGCAGGAGAGGCAGCACCCACGCTGCTCCGGCAGAGGCACCGCGCAGGGGCAGTGCGAGGGGGCAGCTGGCCGCCGTGCTGCAGAAGCAGTGGCGGGCAGCAGCAGCAGCAGCAGCAGCAAGAGCAGACGCTCCACCACAGACGAGAAGAGTTCGTCCCGTCGCCACCACTGATGCAGTTGGAGTACCGCAGCCGCAACGCGGCATCGTACAATACGTAGCGACGTAGTAAAGCAAAAAGACATGTGCACAGCGAGAAAAGAAAAACGAGAAAACACGGTTCCTGCAACGTCTGCTCCGCTCTCCGCGTGCGACCGCCGTGACACACACCGACCGCACGGCTCCGCACCGGGGGCACCAAAGGGGAGGCTCGGCTCCATCAAAAGCAGAAGCGGGAAGAGTCGGACGAAGCGGAGAGAGAGAGTAGGACGAATGAGATTCGAAAACAACAAAAAAAAAGGAATAGCAAGAGAAAAGGCAAAGCGAGTGGCGGCAGGCCGCAGCAGCGGCAGCGAGTGCACAAGCACCTACGACGACGTGCTGCGCGCACTCGCCGCTGTCCACGCCCTCGCTGCACCGCTTGGCCGCACGCTGAGATGTGTGCACACTTCTGTTCAGAACGCAGCTACGTACACGCCTGCGGGTGGGTACGAGCAGCACCCCCCACCACGTCACATTAAGGGAAATCGGCAATCCGGCAAACAAGAAATACACATGACGGTGGCGCAGAGAGCCGCTCACGAGGAGACGGGAGGGGATGGCTTTGCACGCGTTGCTTTAGGTTGCGACGGGCGCTCCACAGCCGTCAACTGTCCACGGCGCACTACCAGGCAGCAGTCATGCCGCACACGTTCACGGTGGCACCCATGGCGGCCTCGGCGGTGTAGGTGACGTACAGCATGCCGTCGTCCGCCTGCTTGCACGCGTCGTGCAGCTCGCCAAGCGTCGTCGTCGGCGCAACGGCGCACTGCGCCACCGCAAGCGACACCGCCTTCCTCGCGTCGACGCCGTCGAGGCGGCGCACCGCGCTCGTCAGCTGCGCAACCGTCGCGTCGCGCGGCAGCACGCTGAAGTGCGCCTTGCCGCCCTGCGCGCTCTCCACCACAACGGGCACGTCGCAGCTCCCGGCGTTCAGGCTCGCGCGCTTCGCGATGCGCTCCTCCACGCGGGTCGACGACACGTAGGCGGACATGGCGGTATGGGGGAGGGTCGGGTAGGGTAGGGGGGGGTTGATGAGAGAGAGTTTGGTGGGTGCGGAGGCTGGAGAGCAGATCTGTGTGGTGCGGTGTGCCGCCGCGGCAGTGCAGGCGCAAGAGAGGGGGATGGAGGGAGAGAAGACGAGGGGGGCGGTGGGGGAGGTGGACACGCACAAAGACGGGGAGGGAGGGAGAACGCGGTGCAGGAGAGGCAGCACCCACGCTGCTCCGGCAGAGGCACCGCGCAGGGGCAGTGCGAGGGGGCAGCTGGCCGCCGTGCTGCAGAAGCAGTGGCGGGCAGCAGCAGCAGCAGCAGCAGCAAGAGCAGACGCTCCACCACAGACGAGAAGAGTTCGTCCCGTCGCCACCACTGATGCAGTTGGAGTACCGCAGCCGCAACGCGGCATCGTACAATACGTAGCGACGTAGTAAAGCAAAAAGACATGTGCACAGCGAGAAAAGAAAAACGAGAAAACACGGTTCCTGCAACGTCTGCTCCGCTCTCCGCGTGCGACCGCCGTGACACACACCGACCGCACGGCTCCGCACCGGGGGCACCAAAGGGGAGGCTCGGCTCCATCAAAAGCAGAAGCGGGAAGAGTCGGACGAAGCGGAGAGAGAGAGTAGGACGAATGAGATTCGAAAACAACAAAAAAAAAGGAATAGCAAGAGAAAAGGCAAAGCGAGTGGCGGCAGGCCGCAGCAGCGGCAGCGAGTGCACAAGCACCTACGACGACGTGCTGCGCGCACTCGCCGCTGTCCACGCCCTCGCTGCACCGCTTGGCCGCACGCTGAGATGTGTGCACACTTCTGTTCAGAACGCAGCTACGTACACGCCTGCGGGTGGGTACGAGCAGCACCCCCCACCACGTCACATTAAGGGAAATCGGCAATCCGGCAAACAAGAAATACACATGACGGTGGCGCAGAGAGCCGCTCACGAGGAGACGGGAGGGGATGGCTTTGCACGCGTTGCTTTAGGTTGCGACGGGCGCTCCACAGCCGTCAACTGTCCACGGCGCACTACCAGGCAGCAGTCATGCCGCACACGTTCACGGTGGCACCCATGGCGGCCTCGGCGGTGTAGGTGACGTACAGCATGCCGTCGTCCGCCTGCGGCACGCGTCGTGCAGCTCGCCAAGCGTCGTCGTCGGCGCAACGGCGCACTGCGCCACCGCAAGCGACACCGCCTTCCTCGCGTCGACGCCGTCGAGGCGGCGCACCGCGCTCGTCAGCTGCGCAACCGTCGCGTCGCGCGGCAGCACGCTGAAGTGCGCCTTGCCGCCCTGCGCGCTCTCCACCACAACGGGCACGTCGCAGCTCCCGGCGTTCAGGCTCGCGCGCTTCGCGATGCGCTCCTCCACGCGGGTCGACGACACGTAGGCGGACATGGCGATAGAATGCGACGAGGCGCTATGGGGTTGATTCAGTGAGGGGAGGGCGAACTTTACAGTGAAGAGGAAAAGTTGGGGCTTTCAGCGCGTGTTGCGAGCTGCTCTCCCAGTGTAGTTTCCATTGCAGTGGGGAATGAGTGAGAAACGGAAGGCGCAGGCGGTAGAAATGGTTGAATGGAGCACAACGCCGGAGTGACACAGGATGACGTGAAGGTGGTGTTTTATTGTTGTTCTGCAGAGGACAGTTTGGCAACAAAGAAATCGGACGTTTTCGTGATGCAGCTCAGGTTTGTGGTATGAACGGAAGAGGCTGCATTCACACGCATGCCAGGAGAGGACTGGTGACGGACATCCGTGCCCGAGTGTCCATCGTGCCAGGCATTGTTTGGCACATTTTGTGCGCCGCGCTCGACGCATCGGCGTGCGGTGACGTAACGAGTGTGTCACGGGTACTTCTGCCTTTAAAGATTGTGTTTTTCTTTTATTAACATTGGTTTCAGTTGTTGTTGTTGCTGCTTGTGTGCGTGTGCACGCGGCAACCATTACTTCTATTTGGTGCTCCCTACCGCACTCACCGCCCTCCTTGCGCCTATGTGCTTGCCCAGCGAGTCACTCCTTTCGTTTCTCCTGATAACAAACGTGGTTAAAGTTCTGTGCGTGCTGCGGCTTGTGAAACTGGGTGCGGCATTCCTTGCCGTACCAGCAGTTCGAGCGCCTCGTCACCGACTCCGGGAGGTCGTCTGAAGGAATACCGCGGCGGTAGTGGAAGAGCAGCTCTGCAAACACCCTCGCCGCACAGCGCTGGCACACCGCCGAGTCAGCGCTCATAACACCGTTGATCAACACCATGTTCGGCACCGACTCGCCCCTTTCAAACTTAACAAGCGTCTCTGCCCAGACGTCCTTCACTAAGATGTGGTGTGCAGCCAAGTACGTGGAGAGGATGCTCTGCTCGATGACGTTGCCCCCGAAGGCCTGCGCGGGCAGCACTTCTACAGCGGTGTGCTCCTTGTACGGTTTAAAATGCAGCTGGTCCGCTGCGCTGCACCCACCGGCGCGGTAGAGGTGGCAGAACGCGCCGTTGCACACATGGCACCGCTGCGGCCGGCCGCAGAGCGGGCGCTCCGCAAAGGGCACCGCGCAGGCGCCGCAGCGAAGGTGGGGACCGCCGACCGGGCATTGAAAGCCGTCGATCGGGCTCGGCGTGTCGCACTCTGCGCAGTGCGCCGCGGTAAGTGGGATGGACGGCGCGTACCGCAGCCCGGCGTGCCGCACCAGACGCGTTGCGTCGCCGTTGTTGCCGGAGGCGTCGCTGCTGTCGTCGCCGTCGTCTTCGTTCTCCGACTCACCGCCGTCACTGTCGCTGGGGCGCTGCCGTTTGCCAAGCTTTAGCCCGCTCGGCGGGATCGTGTCGGCGGCATCGAGCTGCGCCACGTCCTCCGCCGTGCGTCGGCTGGCAGGGTCGGACAGCACAAATTGATCGGCACAGCTCTGCAGCCGGTGCGTGGGCCGCACATCCGTCATGGCCGCGCGGCACTCCGGGCAGTTGCGGTGCGCTCCCTCCTGCAGCCACTTGCTGATGCAGCCGGCACAGAAGACATGCATGCACGGCAGCACCGAACAGGGCCTGTGAAAGACGGCGCAGCAGATCGAGCAGGTCAGCTCCTTCAGCATGTTTGCCTTCGTCGTCTCGCTCCTCAGGCGCTGCACAACGAACACCGCACGGCCGTTTGAAGCGATGTCCGTCGCAGCGATGTTTTCTGCACTCGCCGCCCCATCGGCCGCCGCCGCCGCCGGACGCGTCAGGGCAACTGTGTCGCCGTTCTGCAGCTCCACTGGCTCATTCTTGGTCACACGCACGTCGTTCACGAAGGTGCCGTTGGTGGAGACGTCGCGCAGCTCAACGCGCAGCGTGATCGGGTCAACAATCAACTCGCAGTGCCTCGCGGAGAGCTTGTCGCAGCCCTCGATGCGGTGGTCCTCGCTCAGCTCCTTGCCGCGTCCGACGACAACGGTGCCGCTATCCTGGTGCAGCTCCAGTGTGGGCAGCCCCGCGTAGATGGGCACGAGACGGGCAACGACGGGCTGCTGCAGGGGCGGAGCGGCGAGATCGAAAAGGTCGGCAGCCACCGCCGCTTCATCCGCAAAGGACGCGTGTGGGGTGCGGCCGGACAGCGGGGAGGTGCCCTCGGCGCGCTCGTTGGGGATCGAAGCCGCCATAGCCGATAAGGGAAAGGCTTGTCGTGGTGCCGCTTCTTTAACGGGTGGCGATGGCAGAGGAGAAACCTTCTGTGTGGCGGCGATGGAGAAGACAAGAGAAGCAGAGACCGACAAAGGTGTTCTTTTTCTTTTCGAAACGAAAGCGGGGAGTAGAAACGCAGACAAGACAAAAGCCGGTGACTCAAAGTGGTTCAGCGCACGTTTCAACCGCCAAAGCAGGAACGCAGCGCGGAGGGTGCGGGGGAGGTAACGGACGATGGGGGCTGCGGATCGAAAGGGCGACACCGGTGGAGGGAGGCCACACAGAAGACAAAAGAAAAAATGTCCCAGCCAAGGCGATTACCTTCGTCGCAGGCGAATAACTGGAGGAATAGAAGAAAGCACCGCGCAGAAGTATTCGCACTGTTTTGATTTCCCTCACAGACGCACGCGGCAAAAAGAAACCCAAGGAGGGGAAGTCGCTGAGTTTCCTTCAAACGCTACGAACTGTGCGGTAGGGAGGGCGGCGACGGGCATCGCCCAACGGTGCGGAGGGGGGTGGAGGGAGAGAAGGGAGAGAAGGGGTGGAAAGGGAGAGCACCATGACCGGTTTTGAGACGCAGGAAGTATGGAAGGTGGACAGGCTCCATCCTCTGCGCTTGTTCACCGAGTATGGGCTGCAACGGAGTGCCTGAGATGTATCAGGGGCACAGTGTCATCGAAGAGGAGCGACCAACGGAACGCCGTTTCGTGCTGTACAAAACAAATTCAACACCAACAACTGCGTCGTTGCAACATTAATATTTCCCTGCGTGTGCGTCGTTTCCATGGAGGAGAGCTGTGTGCTCCACGTAGTACTCCATTCGGATGCTCAAACCTTTCCTGGTGCAGGCAGGTAGGCAGAGGTTGCACCACACCCTCAAACCCTCTCCACACACACACACACAGCTCACTGCGCTGTTCTATGCAGAAGGGCTAGGCAGGGGTGAGCGGGTAGCGCATTCTAGTTTGCACCAAACAAAGCGGTCGAAACCTGCGTTGCGAACAAAAGGAATGAAGTGCGTTCTCCATCCCACGTGCGGATGAGAACGAGCTAGAACCACGCAAACGAAAGCCGAGTGGAAAACACATACAACTAACAAAAAAGGCCGATCGAGCGGAGATTCGCCGAGTCCAAGACACCTCGAGAGCGAAGACGCCGGTCGCCGTGCGTACCGTCCGCTGGCAGACCTGCACCGGACGTGAAGGCAACGCTTTCACACGGGTGATGCCCTCCGGCGGCGGTGTGGAGCAAAAACACGACACACGATAATAGTAGATGCGCAACAGAGCGATTGACGCCGCAGAGCACAATTATGTTTCAAAAGTCAGCAATGGGGGGATTTATGCATGTAAATGTGGAGAACGCACGACATGGGTGAGCAACGGCCACCTCACACGGGAGAGAGCAAAAGAGGAGGGAACATCAATAACACTGCCGAAGGGTTCTCAGTTCGTCCTCAGCCGTGCCAGCAAGGCCTCCGTCTCCTCCTTCAGACGAGCCGCCTGCTGCTCCAGCTCCGCCGGGTAGGCCGTCGCGTCCCCGCTGCTCTTCAGCGCCTCCAGCGGCGGTGACCGCAACGCTGCGCCGCTGTCGGCTGACCGGCACGAGGACGAACTCGTCGAGCAGATGGGACGGGTCGTGTCCACCCACGCGCCGACGATGGCGCAGCAGCGCAGTCCGGCGAGGAGTCCGCGCCGCCGTCGGCGCGTGGGTGGACTGCTGCAGGCGGCGGATGCGCTGCAGGTGGAACCGGCGGGCCTCATTCAGGTTGTCGATACGGTTCTCAAACTCGGCCAGCTGCACGTCGGCGTCCTCGAACATGTGCCGGTACGCCTCCAGCTGCTGCAGCTTCTCCGCCACGTCCTGCGCTTCCTGTGTGAGGTTGGCGTGTGCGGGGGTGCCGGCGTCGATCCTTTGCATCTCCATTTGAATCGTGGAGAGCCGGCGGGAGAAGCCCTCCTTGGCACGGCGCCACTTGGGGGCATCGGTGGTCTGCGCAGACCGCAGCATCTCCCGGTACTCCTGCAGCTCGGCCAGCTCCTTCTCCATGCGCTCTAGGGCCTGCAGCTCGCGGTTAATTTTAGTCTGTGCGGCGTCGTTGCGCTGCAACGAGGGGCTGCGCAGCAGAGGCGGCAACGTTAGGCGTCGCTTTGTAAAGCCCGCCGGCGATGTGTCGCTGGGCGGCGTGCCAGGGAGGGAGAGGGTGAGGGGACTGGCGCCGGAGGTCGGTGGCGGCTTCAGTGAGATGCGCCGCGATGCGGCCTGCTTGTAGGGCGGCATTTTGTGAAGGACGATCGAAGGCGCTGTTGTGTGCGGTGGTGGTGGTGTGTGAGGTGTGGGCTGATGCACCTGCCGCGGCGGCTGTTCCTCCGTCAGCTGCTTCCGCACCTTCGCAATGGCTGCGTCCTTCCGCTCCATTCGCTGGTGCAGCTGCGCCACCTGCGCCGTCGTTGCTTGCAACTGACGCTGCAGCTGGAGGATTTCGTGTTGATGGGCTGCAGAGAGCTGATCGGACTGCTTCCGCGTGCTGCGCACCTCATGCCGCTGCCGCGTAACCTCCTCACGCAGCCGCACCACCTTCATCTGCAGCTGGCGGGTGCGGTCGATGTCCTCCTGCCGGGCCCTCACTTTCTGCTCCGCCTCACGCACACGGCGGCGGTCCTCCGTTGCCGTCACCTCTGCACGGCGGATGCGCTCGAGGTAGCCAGCTCGCAGCGCCACCTTCTCTATCTCCCTCTGCTCGCGCTCCATCGCCGACTTCTCGAGCCGCACCTCCGCCTCCCGCAGCTCCTCCTGCAGTTTGGCCTTTTCGCCGAGGGTGTCCTGCAGCTCTCGCTCGTACTGTTCGAGCTGCGCCGCCACCGCGCCGTTCTCCTCCTGGAGGGCCGCAATTTGGGATTCTTTGTGTTGGATTTCCGCCGTGAGGTGATTCTCTCCGGCCGCGGCAGCCGCAGTAGGAGTGGCGTCCCTTTCGGCTGCGTCGACGTCCGCCACCGTCGGCACCGCCTCCGCGGCGAGGGCGGCCGCCAGTCGCTGGGTGTCCTGCACCTTCTCCGCCTGCAGGACGGCGAGCGAATTTCGCTCCTCCTCCAGCTGCTGCAGCCGCTCCAGGTTTCTCATGCGCCACGTACACGGGCTGGGCGGTGATGTGGTGCGAGGGGCGTTTCTTCCCTCCGAACTCGCACGGTGGGCACGTCTACTCCCGCCTCGGGAGCCGGTGATGTACGCCTCCAGCTGCGCCACGCGTACCTCCAGCGCCTTGCGCTTCTCCACCTCCACCATGGCGGTGTACTCGGCGCTGAAGAGGTCGTTTTCGAGTCGCTTTGTGTGCTCCTGCTCCCGCTCGAGCAGCTGCCGCAGCTGCTCAACACCCGCGGACACCGGCTCCATTGAGTTCGAGCGAGACGTGCCGGATGTGGTGTTGCCGCCGCTGCTGCCGCTGCTACGCGCTCGCTCTTCGTTTTGGCTCGCCGTGGCTGCCAGCCGCCGCTTCGCGTCTTCGAGCTCGTCGCGCAGCATCACAATGAGCTGCTGCGCATTCGCTGCTGTCGTCGCTGATGCCACGGTGAGGTGCGGATCAACGTGAATGTGTTTGGCGCGATCGGCGTACTTCAGTGTGTTGAGGGTCTCCTCTAAGGAAGACGCCAGCGGGGCCACGCAGGCGATCATCGCGGTGCGGGCGTGACCCTCCAACAAAGGCTGCAAGAGCCGTGTGAGCTTCGATGAGCGGTAAGGAACGTGCGGCTTCTTCTCACAGAGCGCCACAATCACGTTGCCCAGCGCCAGCAACCCGCTGTTGATGTTGATCACTTCGCGCACGCGCGCCACCGTGTTGTCGGACGCGAAGTCCGTCTCCTTTGGACTCCCCTTCCCCCCATCATTCACACCGCTGTAGTAGATGTTGTTGCCGCCGTTGCCGGTGCCGCCGCAGGGATCTGTCGGCGACGCAAACTTCAAAGACTTCTTCAGTCGCTCGCTGCCTGCCAAGTCCACGAAGCAACACCGTGAGCACAGCCCTCGCCGCTGCAGTGTCAGCGTGATGACGCAGTGCGAACGTGAGCTCGTCGCGTTCATCAGCGTCGCCGCCGTCTTGCGATGACCAATCGCCTCGTCGATGAGCGCCAACAAACGGGCCTCGCTGTCCACCGTGACCTCGGTGAGGCCCACGACGTGCACCCCGCCGGTTGGGTCCTCGCGCAGCTGCAGGCCATTGCGCAGCGACGGGCCGCTTTTCCGGTCTTGCGCCGAGCTGCTGCGACGCTGTTGTTGTCCGCCGCCACCGTTGCCGCCGCCGATGGGAGCGGCGTAAGGCTTCTCGGCATGTCGGCTCAACAAGTCGCCCACCACCTCGTTGTACACCTCCAACACCGTCAGCGACAGGGTGAAGGCCGGCATGGGAGACGGCGCGGCGGCTTCGGCGGCTGTGCTGGACGACGTCCGCACACCATTGCTACTGCTGCTCCCCTCTTCTTCGGCCAATCGGCAAAATATCTCCTGCACCGTGTCGTTCAGCAGCGCCGCCATCGTGAAGGTCTTACCGGCGCCGGTCTGGCCGTAGGCGATGGTGGAGGCGTGGTAGCCGCTAAGAAAGGAGTCGGCGAGCGGCTGCCCCAGCGCCACGTAGACGTCGTCGGAGGTCGCACTCTGACCGAAGACGCGATCGAAGGCGAAGCTCTTCGATTCGCCGACATCAATTTGGCTCGCGCGCACCGTCACGCAGCAGGCGCGGGACTCGTGTGGCAGGAAGGGGCGCACCCGCACCGCCACAGCGAGCCGCTCCGCCATACTTCCGTGTGTTCGGTGTTTGCCGCGGAGGGAGAGAGGAGGAGAGAAAAGGAAAATCCGGTGCGGGACGACGGCCGGAGCAGCCCTTTCGCCCCTTCGCCCCGGGCTTTGCAAAATCGAATGTCTATTTATACCACTGAAGGAGCACGATGAGGAACTTCCAGCAAAGCGGCAACAGGAACTTTAAAAAGAGATTGTGGAGAAGGAAAAACTAAGACGATGCAGAGATGAATGCGTGCCGTGCGACTCCGTGTGGGTGTGGCCGAGTTGCGGCACGGGGCCCTGTCAAGGCAGCTGGTAGAAAACAATGGTAAGAGTAACTCCAGTCGTCGTGGACAGGCACCGACTACGGAGGAAAAACAAAGAGGAAAAATGAGAAGCCTTGTAGAAGCTATTGCTGTTGTGCAATGGCGGCTCCAGCGCAAACAAGAGCAAAACAAAAATACCTGCTTCAAGGAAATACCACTTCTTCAAATGGCGAGCCCTGTGCGGCAACACACAACAACCAGAGTCGGCAGTGAAGAGGGAGAAGACGTGAACACACACTCTTCATCGACCGCGTCGGTGCAGCACGGTGGAAGAGAAGAGAAAAAGAAAAAGATCATCGCTCCACGGCCATTCCCGCCGCCGTCCCTCTCGACACGGCGTCCTGCAACGCCGCGCCGTACGCGTACCAGAGCGGTCATACAGGCGGAGAGGGGCGGGGAGAAAGCTACGTGGCTGCTCCCCGAGGTTGAGCCCCGCGCTTCAGAGCGAAATGAAGAACCCCACAGGGCAGCATACTCTATTATTTTCTTTCTCTTTCTCTTCATCGTTTACGCATCTAAACGTCTAAATTGGAAAAACAAAAAAAAAACGTAACCACCTAAAACAAACTCGAGCGCCTGTGAAAATGGAAGTGAAAGGCGGGCAGCGGGACACAGCAACCCGCGCCACAACAGGGGGTGGGGTGGGGAGGACATGATGTGCGGTACACGTACCTTTCAAAACGCCGTTGCTGTTGGTGATTAACGCTAACGAGCGCGGTATCGCAGCGGCTTGCGCCACGCCGGTGGCGTCGTCGTCGTGCGGCCCGCCCTCTCATCTGGGGAACTCCGCTGCCACCGATACGGTCCGGCTGCCGCGTCCCTCTCCTCTCGCGAAGACACCGCCGCGGGTTGTCGCACCACGAAGGCCAGCTGCCGCGGCGACGACTCCGCCGACGGCACCTCTGGCTGCGATGGGTGCGAGAAGGATGAGGCCGTGAGGGACGTGCTGGGCGGCCGCCGTGCCCAGTGCTGCACGAAAACTTCGTCATCGTCTTCCTCCGGTTCGTCGTCATGATGGCCATCGGCAGAGGTGCTCGTGGCGATGCGTTGCAGCGGGCTGCCGGTGCGGTCTGCTATACTGGCGTTCCCCTTGAGGGACGTCTCACCGCTGGCGGCGCTGCGTGGCGTCGTCGAGGCATTGGGGCCGACATTAATGCGTGGCCGCAGCAGATTGTTTGAGGTGTTCGCGGAGGCCAACCCCGGCGTGCGGGCGTACTTCGGCCGCCACCACTCCTTCGCCGCCTCCCGCAGCCGCCGTGCCGCCGCCTGCCGCTCCACGAACGTCTCCACCCCCGTCGCCAACTTGGCCTCCGGCCGCGGCAACGGGAAGACGGGGTCGACGTGTGGTTGGAAGGAGCACTCCTCTAGCGTGGAGCCCTCGAGCTCGTCGCGCAGCTCTGCGAGCCGGGCCTCGCGCTGCTTCGCCCACAGCGTAGTGCGGGCTTCAATCGGCATCGCGATGTAGCCGGAGCGGCGGTGCGGCGGCCGGCCCGCCGTTGGGTGGAAGGTGCACGCCGCCGCCTCCTCCCTGCGCCGCTGCCCCTGCAGTTTCGCTATCTCCTCCTCCCTCTTCTTCTCCGCCTTGCGCCACAGCAGCTGCCGCGCCTCGTCCTCGGTGCGGGCGACGCCGGTTGCTTTGAGGGCCCGCACGCGCTGCCGCCAGAGGGCGTCGGAGGCAGCGCTGACGGACGGGGCGAAGGTCAATGCCGTCTGCAGCTCGATGTCCCTGGCCGTCACGACCTTCTTCTTGAAGGTCGGCCGCGGCGGCGAGGGCGACGCCGTGGGGTTGGTGGTGCTGCCCGGGTACAGGCGACTGCCGGGGCTGTGGCCCAGTGCACCGGGATTGCCGTCCGCTGCCAGCTGTCGTCGCCGCTCCTCGACGAGGTGCCGCGATCTGTCGTTGATGCCCGGTCGGCCGTCGCCGCGCTCATCTGGCAGGACCGACTTGCGGTATTTCGACGCGTGCTGCGCGTTGCGGTAGAGACGCTCGTGTGGATCGGCCCCCACCTCGCCCGACTCCGCGTAGTATAGCGTCGACAGTGCCGTGGACTGCGGTGAGAGCTGCGGTTGGAAGGTGCAGTGCAGCTCCACCTCCTCGTCGTACACGCCGCTGGCGCCTCCCTTTTGATTCTGCTGCTGTTGCGCGCGGTGGCGTGTGTAGAGGCGATCCACGACGCCGCGCTCATATTGGATGTTGGCGGCGTAGGGCGAGATGACCGGCGCAAAGCGAGGGGAGGAGCGACCATCACCGTTGATGCTGCCGCTGCTGCCGTCGTTTCGCATCGATGTCGTGGAGGCGGTCGTGTAGCTCTGCTCGAAGGCGGTGTACTGACGGCGCCGACGGGCCTCCGCCTCGGCCATCAACGACGCTTGAATCGGCACAGAACGTCGATGGCGCTCCGCCTGCGCTTTCTCCACCGCGTAGGCGGAGATGCGGGGCACCCCGGTGACGGTGCTGAGTTCACTGCGAGCCGCCTCCACCTGTCGCCGCACTTGCCGCGCCCGTCGCTGCTCCTCCCAGCGGGTGAGCGACACGCTGACGTCGCCGTCACGCCGGGTGGAGTGCTCCGCTTTCGCGGTCACCGCAGGCGCAAAGGTGCAGACTTCTTGGGCCTCGCTCTCGCGCCGTGCTGCGTTTCCCGCGGCCTCCTCGGCGAGAAGGGCGATTCTTTTCTGATGGAGTTCGTGCAGGCGGTTGCCGATAGAGGAGCCCTGCCGCACCACCGATGTTTTACTCGCCTGCTCCGCGTACGCGGTTATGGTCGGTTTGAACGGCGCGCGTTGGGCCTCGCGGACCTCCTGCTCTTGCCGGAGCAGCTCGACGTGCTCGCGGTAGCGCCTGCCCACCAGCTGCAAGTACTCGACCACTTCGCCCGCGTCATTTTGGCTGCCGCCACGTGTCTGCACCTCTGTCATGGCGAGAGAAAGCGTGCGTCCGTGCGGGTGCGATGAAAGTGCGGAATTACCTAAAGATAAAAACCTGTGCCAGTAGAGAAACAAGATGTGACGCGTAGCGCGCTTCGGCCTCCGACAAGCTCGTTTTCCAAACGAAAACGGTAATGCACTTTCAGCGGGATTGACAACGTAAGGACCTCGGAAGTTGGGCGGGCGAACGCACCGGCCCGCACACACCGATCAGCAAGCAGAGGCCCCTGTTGTGTGTGTGTGTGTCTCCCACGCTTCTTTTGCCCTTCCGTTTAACTATTCACGCCAGAAATGCCAAAGTTCTTTGTGGGAGAGAGGACGGAAGTGCCACAAAGGGAAGGAGCAAAGCAGATCCTTTTGACCCCGCTGTTCCCATCTCTGTTTTTTGATGACATGAAGAGCGCAGCGATGGAGGTGCTGCGTTAATTCTCACGTAATGAGTGCCGCATACCCCCCACTTAGGCGGATACGCTCATCCTCAGATATCTGCCCCGGTCGCGAAGAGAGGGGAGTGCAGCTTACCTCAACACACCGCTAAGCGTGCTGCACTTCGGAAGAAACGCCTTTAATTCACGTGAAGTGCTTCACAACTCAAGCAAGGCTCAACGACAACAACAGCACAAGAAGCGTGCTCCACAGCAGCGACTTCCATCTTTCCTCATATCGATATATGTATATATTCTATTTGATGCTTTTAAGGATTCGGCTGTAAAGAGAATGCAGAGCATTGAGGTGTATTTTTATTTCTTTTCGGGATGATTTTTGAGGCACCCGCAGCCACACAACGCTCGATGACCCTCAACGGCGTAGCAAGGGAAGACGAGAGGCGGGGAAGAAACCGGTCGAAAGCAATCCGCAACCAAATTGATTCTGGAAACACCTCTGCGGCTCGTCTCCGCAAGTCATCCGCACTTGTGCGACTGTGATGACGCGAGGGGCAGCTGCACAACTGCCCTACAAAGAACAAAAAAATGAGGGGAATAGGCTTCGCGCTTGCTGTCCATCCTTCTCTCTCACCGCCTCTACCGCCCTCTGACGATGTCGTCCTCCATCTCCTTTCGCAGTGCCACCTTCCGCTGCTGCGCGGCTTCGAGGGCGTCAAAGGTCTGCACAATTGGGATCGCCAACGTCCGGTAGCGCTCCTCCGCGCGGTCCACGCCGAGGCGGCACGTGCGGTAAATCTCGTAGAGCAGCACACACACCGTCACAAAGAGCAGATAGACCAGCATGTCCGCAATCGCGTTCCAGCTGCGCAGCTTCACGCGGAGCCGAAACAAACTCCACGCGTAGTAGCGCCGCGCCAGCCCCTGACGCGTGCGTTTAATCAAGTGGAACCACCGTGTCTGCCGGGCCGCTGCGTCCACCGTCGTCAGCCCACGGTGCAGCCGCAGCAGCCGCATGCCGTACTTCACGCTGTCCTCGAGGCGATGCACCGTCAAGCAGTGCTGCATCATCGCCCCCTCCTCCCCGGCCTTGAGAAGACGGTGGTAGAGGCTGAAGAAGGCGGCGTTACGGGCGGCGGCGGCCGCGGCGGATGACTCGGAAGTATTTCCGCCTGCAGCCTGCGGGGGCGCGGCTCCGTCGTTTGCGGGAGAAGCGGAGGCACTCGCAGCGGTGGCAGCGGAAGCCGCAGCGGTGGTGGCCAAAGAGAGCAGCCGTCCGCAGCGCAGCATCTTTTGTTTTTAGAACTTATCTGCTAATACTATTTGTCGGCCGCCTGTGCGACTCCTGTTGTGGTGAGAGAGAAGAGATTGTCGTTGTAAAGGATAATGGGAGAGCGCGACGCTTGTGGGGTCGCTTCGCTTTGCGGCCTTCACGTCGAACACGTTTGGCGTCGCTGCCTGGGGCGCAGAAGAGTGCCGGATGCACTGGCGCGACGGCCGTCATCACACAGCGCAGGCGCCAAGGCAACGCATAAGAAAAGTGAGCCGAAAAAGAAGAAAAGAGCGTTGAGAAGCCAAAGGGTGGCGAGCGTGCCTGCGAGCCTCGTCTTCCTCCTCGCGCTTGCGCACCGACGCCTAACGTGGTTGTCACGATTAGGGCTCGCACGCAGGGAACACAAGTTCACTTGGTGCATCATCCGACAGCCTGGACGTGAAGAACGAGGGAGTCAGAGCACCACGACAAATGCCGGACTTGGGTGGTCAAGAACAGGAATAACAGCAAAGGTCTTCGAGTAGATCGGGAAAGCAATACTGGCGAAACAGCAGCGCGTTCTCCCTTCGCCACCCGCCGCTTCTCTCTGTCATCCAACAGTGTCACTCAACCCTCTACATCGCCACTGTATTCACCTTTCTTGCTATTTACCTTTTTGGAGAGCCGAATTCACGCAGAAACTTGATATTATACCGCACCCACCGTCTTCGTAGGCGAGTGGCAACGGCGAACCTCAACATTGAAATCAAACCTGACAGAAAAACACGGATCGAAGTCACCGCGTAGATGGCAATCCCCACGCTATCTGACACCATCCAAGAACAACGAGAACAACGAGAAAAACAAAATCGAGCTCACCTCTGCGCTGCCTCTAAAACGTAAACAATGAAAATGTGCTGCTCGTGTGTCCTTCATCCAACGAGGTACGTACATCGGCGGCTTCTTTCCGACTTCAGCTCGCTCGTGCAATCGGAGGTACGAGAGAGAGAGAGAGAGAAAGAAAACATATATATTTTTATATCCTGACACCGTAAGCTACACGTCTATGCAACTCCCCAGCCTTCACTTCCGCAAAAACCGTGCAGACATCAACAGGAATTTTATGACAAAAATATCTTTCTAAATTTCACATTAGGGAGATATGCGAAAACATAACACCAGAAACGTATAAATAAATATTTCAGCAGCGTATGCTTGTACAGGGGAATCTAAGTAGTTATGCGCCACGTAGACGTCTTCCGACGCTTCTCTTCTTTTCTTTTTGGGAGGAGCTGTCTTCCCGCTCTGATGTGGCTTGCTCGGTCGAAAACGGTGTGGCCGTGGCGTCGCCCAGCAAATGGCCACATCTTCGCCCTCACCGCATCTATTTTACGCAAACAGGGCGACGCAGGAAACCACGTACAAGTCACCACCAAAAGCAGCGCACACAGCACAGGAGAGAAAACACGCGAACAGGAGAGACAACGCACCAAAGTCGCCGGACACGGCGCGAGGCACCGCTGCTGAGAGGGTGTAAATTTAAAAAAGGAGGTGGAAGGAAAGATTCAAACGTTTGAGAAAACAAACAAACAAAAATTCTACTGCAAAGCGGGGAAGGAAGAACCGGACGGGAGGCTGCGTTGCAAGGAAACGCAATAAGAACAGCAAATCAGCAAAACAGAAAATATAACTGAAGAAAAGAAAAATACGAGGGCAACTTTTCGGAGGTGCGGCGTCCTCCCTCCCCCGCGAGAGAACAACAGAAGTGAAACGCTATGAATTCGAGAAGCATCTCCCTCCCCTTTTTCCCGGCTTCTAGCGGCAATCGCCCCCTCCCCCCTCCTTACGGTGTGTGACATCTCATACCCTCCGCAGCACCTACCCACAACACGCTACTTGCCGCGTTTCCTAATACCCCGCCGTGTCGCGCGAATAGGAGCGCCCGGCGAGGTTGCTGCGCATGTTCCCCAGGTAACTGCTCGCCTCCGACAGCAGCTTCGTTTCTCGCTGCTCCAGGCTATCCCGCTGCTCCCGCAGACGCAGTTCCTGCTCGATGAGGGTGCGTTCGTGCTGCGCAATGAGCTCGCGATTGCGCCGGTGCTCGTCCAGCTCCAACTCCTTCTGCTTGATCGCCCGGTCCCGATCCGCGACGCCGTTGCGGGCGCCGTCGACTTCACGCGCCCTCTGCGCCACGCGGTCGCGGGCCTCGGCGACGGCCTTCTCGCCGGCATCGCGTCGGGCAGCGGCCTCGTCCGCCTGCCGGCCGATTTCCTTGCCGGCGTTGTCCAACTCCTTCAGCGCCTGGTCGGCAGCCGCCACGTTGCGCTCCGCCATGCGCACGGCGTCCTCGGCTTTCGGGATCTCACGCGCGATGGCATCCGCCTCCACCGCGGCGTCCCTCTCGCGGTTCTTCGCGGCGTCCGCCTCGCCAGCGGCCTGCTCGGCGGCCTGGTGGGCCCGGTCGGCCGCCCGCTTCGCGTCCTCGAGCGCCTTCATCAGCTGTCGCACCTTCTCATCCGCGGCGTCGGCGTCGTTGACAAGTGCAGCGGCGCGGCGGTCCAGCTTGTCGGAGTCGCGCGAGAAGTCCTGCAGATCCTTGCGGGCCTCCTTCTCGCGCTCCTTCACGACGACGAGGTCCTGGTCGCGATCCTTCTTCTCTCGCGCGACGCGCTCCTTGTCCTTGCGGGCGTCCTCCATATCCTTCGCCAGCTCCCGCATCCGCTCCGTCCGATCGCGCAGGTCCTCGTCGGCGGCCTTGACAGCGTTCTGCGCGTTGGCCACCTCGTTCTCGGCGTTCTCGAGGCCGCGCTGGGCGGTGTCCAGGACGCCCTCCGCCTTACCGGCCGCCTCCACCTCCGCCTGGATGTCCTTCTTGAGCTGCTCCTCCTCCCAGAAAGCCTTGGAGCGGAAGTACAGGCAGTCCGTCATGATCGGGTAAAGCCGGACAAAGCGCTCAAACTCGGAGTAGGAGATGCGGTGATCGCGGTTCAGGTCGGCACGCTCAAAGAGGTCCTCGACGGTGGCGCTGGAGAAGTCCAGACCCATGTTGTGGAAGCCCGCCTTGAAGTCGTCTAGGTCGATCATGCGGGCGTTCTTCACGTCGAACTCCGCAAAAACCATCCGCAGCTTCTCCTCCGGCGAGGCGTCCGCGCTGCTGCGAGGGATGACGAGGGCGGTGCTGTTGGCGCCCGTCGCCGCGTACGGCCGGCGTGAAGATGACGGCTCACTGCGACCGCCACCGGTGTAGGGCGCCAGCGCACTCGATGTGGACGTCACGGCACGGCTGCCCGACTGCGCGTTGTTGGCGAGGGCGACGCTGCGGCTCGGAGGGGTGGTGGCGGCGGCCGTGGCGGATGCCGGCGGCTTCGTTGCTGGCGGGATTGGCTTCTGCGTCTCCTTGTGCCACGGGTTCTCTGGCTGAAAGGCGTAGAGCTGGCAGTAGTCGACGAGCTGGCCCTCGCCGAGGAGGTCGACCCATTTGCTCTTGTCCTCGTCGTAGATTTTTATTTTCGCAATGTGGAACGTGTGCGGCGGCACGTTGTCGGCGCGTGTGTTGGCGATCTCGGTGGAGAAGGCGGCCTCTGACGCACGGGTGATCTCCTGCACGGTTGGCCGGCTGGGGAAGCTGAGTTCGAAGTTCAGCTTGTTGCCGAAGATGTCGGCGGCTACCTGCACGATGAACATGGTGGGCGACTGTGCGTGTGTGTGTGTGTGTGTGTACGAGGTTAATGCAATGAATAAAGAAAGGCGGAATACCACGAGCAGTTCTCTCGTCGTGGTGTTGCTGCTGGAGCCTGGGTGAAGGCGTCAAATGGAGATGCAACGTCTATTTGTTCTTTGGTTGAGCTCTGCTCGACGACTACAGCAGAATGCCTCGTTGACGCTATCGGCTGTTTTACTCTAGAGGGAAAAGAAAAGTCAGGCTGGACGCCTCAAAGTGCTTGCAGTGGCGCGTGAATCTCGCGTACGGTTGACAACAAAGCACGCTTGATGCTCTGCCGCGGGTAGGGTGCCGCGTGCGTCGTTCGGGTAAGTGCGAAGGCAGGACGGGGTTTGGAAAGTAAGAGGAGACAGTTGAACAGAAAAAAAAGAAAAGCGTTGTCAGACGAAACCTTCGCTATCCGCTGCAAGGAGCTCACGCTACACGGCAGGCTTCGTTAACGATACAGCTCGGGCGGAAACTCACAAAGGAACCCGAGCAGCGCTGCGTGCGCGATCATGCAAGACGTCGAACAACGCCCGGCCGCATCGCTCGACTTGCATTTTACTTGACGGCCTTCGGCCACACTCCACTTCCCGCTGTTGGGGGGAGAGAGATCAGCCTTGCCGCCGACAGGGCTACACGCGCGAAGGTGGCGGTGAGGATTGTAGCCGCGTCGACTGCCTTTACTCTTCTGCTTTTGATTTCCCGCTCCGTACGTAATGACTTGCCAACTTTAATTACCGTTACGCGCCCCTCTTCGTTGCCGCTTTTCTTATCTTTAACCTCCTCCATCTCGAGTCCGTCGGCTGCGTCGGCGCAACGCTCGAGTTTCGTTTACACAGTAAAAGCGACGGACGGACGGACTGGGAGAGACCAGCACAACTTTTTTTTTGCCTTCATCGAGTACGATGCAGAAGAGGTACAGCCAGTCGTAGATCGAGGGAAGCAGGAAGGAAAACTAAAACACTTGAATAAGAGTCCAAGAGAACAGACGCGTCCGTGTCCTCCGACGGTGTCAGCAAAAGGTGTAATACAACCGGAAAAGGAGAAAAGAAAAACGGTAAAACCACGCTCTAAGCGAGTCGACGAAAAATCGATCACGCTTATCACGGGAGTTGGAAGCCGGTAAAACAATAAATTGAGTCAGGAACAAACAACACCCACTTCGTCGACAAGGTCAACTGCACTGCAGAGAACATCACGGGGGAGAAAAACGATAGATTTATTCCTCCTCCTCTTCTTTCTCTGCGTCACCGCGGTCGACTCGGATGCGTGAAGCGGAAAGAAAAAGGGCGTGTCCACGTCGACGAGCGCCGCCGCGGCGTGCGGAAGCGAGAGAACGGAGAAGGTCTCCGATTTCATCGAACAATGGTGAAGAAGACAAGAAATATATATATAAATATAAAGGGAAACGAAAACAAGATGGGGCTTTTTGACGTTTTCTCTCTCCCAGAGGCGGGTGAACTGCAATCATGCGGAAGAGAAGTCAAGTGGTGCGGGATGCCGTGAGGGCGGCAAAGCAAGCGCGGTTGCCGCCTCACCAGTCCCGCACGCTGACGTTAGTTTAGATACATAACAACACACACATGTTGAGGCAGATACATAATAGATAATAATAATAATAATAATAAAACTGAAGGGGAAATACAGTTTAGGACCATCAATAAGAAGCACTCTGTAAGCCTAAAGTATTATCCATGCACGTCAATAATAAAACAAAATAAAAAATAGAGAGACAGCCGGAGCCCTGCGCACGTACGCCACGCCGCGGCTCGCTGCAGCGTATTATTGAGTCTCTTGGCGAACGTCACACGGCCGATAAAAAGAGGGCAAATACATCGGCGTCGAGCGGTATAAAACTTGCCAGATGAAAAGACAGAAAAGAAAAAAAGGAGTGCTGCTGCGTTTTGTTATTAAAACTGTTATTAACCATCGCCTGTTTTCCAAAGGTGCTCTTCAAGGCCACACGTGTCTCTCGTCGCGATGCTTCGAGCAGCGTTTTCATTGCCCACCGTTCTTCGTTTTTACTCACTGCACGAGCGCTTCGCTGCGTGCACTCCGTGAGACAGCAGGTCGGAGTGCACGTCAACCACAAAAGTCGGCCACAGCATTGGGTCACGAAGTGCATCAGCAAGCAGCAGCAAAAGAGCGAGTGTGGGCCGCAGGTTTCTGTCTCCGGACCAAGCAGCCGTTTCCCTTTTCCTCCTTTGCATTTGTGCATGTGAGCGTGCGTAGGCGTGATGGCGCGTCGAACACGCTCGATTGCACCGTATAAGTCCACATCTGCAGAAGTCGTTGAGAGGATCGGCGGCATGCCTCTTGCGAGGTCCGACGGCGGCCTACAAGTTCGCCTTTGAAGACGCACTGACAGCCGCACGTCGGTGCACGAGAGGGAAAACAGCAAAAAAAAAAAGGCATACCAATGCCCACGCACGAAGCAAGGCGCTGTTGATGCACTCCACATTTCATACAACTGACAAAGAAAAAAAGAAAGCGGGAAGAGGGTCTTCACCTGTGGGGCACGACACGAGAGGAATCAGGCGACAGACAGATGTCATTGTTCTCTTTTTCCAAAGCAGTGAAAAGATGAAAGGTATAGGGGAACAGACGGGCGGATGAAGCAAAAATGGGAACACACAAATAGAGCAAGAGAAAACAAAACTGAAAACAAACGCTGAAATACGTTCTCACGCACACGAGCAGGAGATCAAAGCGAAGGAGTAGAGAAAACAAACATAATAAAAAGATGATAATAATAAAAGTAGTAATGCGATGAACACGCTGCGGCTACGTCCCTGGCTCTCCTCGCTGCCAACGTGTAGCACAAGTGGTGCAACGATCACTTGTCGTGCAGTGCAGTGCAGTGCAAAACAACAATAATTACTTTAATAATAATAATATATATGCATCAAACACAACGAAAACAAGCAAGTTTTCTAAGCGGATGATGAAATTCTCTTCGCACGCCTCCTTCATCGTCGCAAGAAGAAGAAAGGTATGCGAATACACCCACGTGAATGAAAACAGTTGAAGAAGAAAAGGCGATATCAATAAGCCACGATGACGCAATGAAGCCGAAAAGGAGAAGAAAGGGAGGAATAAGCTGAGTGAAAATGAAGAACAACTTTAAGCACGTGCGAAGAGAAAAAAAACTTTTTTAAACAAGAGAGAAGAAAAACATGTTTTCACTATGCAGTTTAGACGCGCACGCAACTGGAGTTTATTAATAATAATGTAAAGTATTTATCGAAACAGAATACGCTAAAGAGATAAAACGGATAAAAGAAACGGCGGTAAGAAAAGAAAATAAGAAAGCAGCAGCACTTCACTGACACACGGACGAAGCGCATGGAAGGCACGACTCCGTCGCCACTTAACTTCAAATAACACACACCCCATGCCTCTTCACCAAAGCAGTACTCTACTCGACGAATGTGTATAAGAAAAACAGTTGTCAACGTAATCCAAACCTATCATTCCAATGCCCAGGATGTTGACAGGAGCTAAAAGCAAAGAGAGAAAAGAAGGGGAGGAAAAGTCAAGAGGAAAAGAGGCCCCCTTTTTTTTGTTATTGCTGTTCGTTTGCTTGCTTGCTGGCTCGTAAAGATGCGTTCGGCGCATCTGCGTTGTACGTCGAAGACACAATGAAGGACCCGCCGAGGAAGGGGCGGAACCTTGCAAAAATAAAAATAATAATAATAATAATAAAGATCAGTGGAACAATAAAACACAAGAAAGCTGCTGCCCATGAGAAGTTGTGCGACTGCCACAACCACAACATAAAACTTCTTAAAACACAAAAGAGAAACATTATCTTGATGAGGTATAGCGACCGAATAAGAAGGATAGGAAGTCAAGAGTCGAAGTGATTGCACGGCATTTAGGGAAATACATAACTAGCGAGTACCTGGCATCAATGTCCCCATCAAGGCTACTCATTGTTTCTTCACTATCTAGTATCTGCCCCAATTCCGTTCTTCTTTATCTGTCGTGTTTGTCGTCGGACTTTTTCTCAGAGAGTATCGCTTTACGAAGTGCAAGGAAAACAAAACTCATGGATCTTTTTAAGGATCCCATGGGTCCCTGTCGTGGGAGGGACCGGGGGTGGGCGGGTGGATTTCAGCGAAAAATCGGAGTTTCTCTCGATGCTGAAAACAACTGTGCCAGGCAAACCAGAATACGGAAGAACCAGGATTCAGGAGGTAATAGATAAGGAGAAGATAGTTTAGAGCATTACCCTAAATGACCGAGATCCGCCAATCTCTCCGCTGCCAATCACATTCAACTCATTTTTTCCGTCCCTTCCATTCCCCTCGCAGGCTCACAAAATAAATTATTTCTTCATATATATATTTTTAAAGTATCCATGCGCAAAACACGCGTGAACTGCGGGTAAAGAAGGGGGAAATATATACTGTTATTACTGCTGCAACTATTATTATTAATATTATTCTCAATTTGTTTCCCTTAAGTAGCGAACTACAAACAAAAAACATTAATGTCTCTTATCGCCGTTGTTGTGAGCACCAGACTCGCGGAGGCTTCGTTAAGTATCGGGACACGCTCGTGTGTGATCAAGTCCGTTGCTTAAAGCACACACACACACACACATCCTGCAGTTTCCACCTGTTTTGCCACTAGAATTAAAGTTGATGTGTGTTACTCTTTACAGTTGAGTTACAGCAGCGTCAACCCCAGAAACTCCCAACAACGAGAGAAACGCAAGAAGCATGGAGCGACGATTCGATCGACACGGCGACGACGCCTGGCGGTCGGCGTGATGCGTCTATCGCTGTACGTGTTCTTAGTGTCTTCACCGTCTACAACCAGCCACATCAGTTCTTCTCCTCACGGCTCCTATATATTATTTTGTTCGCATCTGTGGTTGGTCAACACGATGGTCCACCCTCACCCGCACGCCGGCGTTGACGCTCGTGCACGCAGGAGCAAAAAAACATGGTGAGGGGAAGGGGGAAGAAACGATGGAAAAACACGTAGCACCTCAGCGCTATTAAACCGGAAATGAGAAAACACGGTAGGTAAGAGAAAGAGAAAATACGCTAAGCAACTCTCTCGCTAGCACCGCTAACGTTGCTTTGCTCTTTCTTAGGTCTTCACAGTGTATGCGGCGAAAGCCAGTAAGGTGAAGACAAGAAAAAAGAAATAGGGATCAGCAGACGCATTAGGAGCGGGTGGAGAAGAGAAGACTGAGAGGGGCCAACGTGGAAGAAGGAAATCAAAGAGAGAAAGCCTCATCGTTAGAGCTCGGTAACGTGAGGGTGGGCAAAAACACCACAACTGCACAAAAGTGGCGTTTGAAGGACGAAACAGATAAAAAGAAAACTCGGAGGTTTGAACTAACAAAACCGGAGATGAAGGAAGAGAAGAGGGAATGAGAGGGAAGCGGAAAACACGAAAAGAAAGAGCGCCACAAAAAAAACAAGGGAAAGCAAGATGATACATTTCACCCCTCAGCAGCACCTTCGTGCTCCTCTCCCTACCACAATACGTTTCAATGTTATTTTTCCATGATAGTTTGCCGCTTTTTGCAATCGCATTGTGTTGCGGGAGGAGGGGGAGGGTGGGAAGGGGGGTGGGGGGAGCGCACACCGCGACACGGATGTGCTCCCTTCGTGTATATAGGGGAAAAAAAAAACCGAGGTAGAATATCGCATTGTTTCTTTCCAGTGCTGCGAGAAAAACAAAAAGGCAGGCTCAACGCCGTCAGAAGAGACACAAAACACGTCCGCACTGCACACACGGCAAAATAAGAATCAAAAGGAGCGGCGGAATACAAATTTGTGGCAGCGAGCGACCAAGAGTGGCACGGCAGAGGGAGAACGAGAAGAGCTTGAAGTAAATAAGGAGGAAAAGATCGGGATAGCGGGGTGACGCGGTTGCCGCGGCTGCGGGATCCAAACTAAATCGGAAAGAAGGGAGCATAGATGATTAGGAAAAGTATCACAGAAAAGAGGGCGCCACTTCATTTTGCGGTTTAAACAGCCTCCGTACAAGAGTGCCTTCGGTTCGTCGCTTTCACACCTAGAGAAAGTGCTTCCGTTGGCTGCTTCCTAAAATACGTGCCCCGCGGCGCGGACGACTTTCTGAAGGTGACAGGGAAAAAAATGAAAAAAGAAATAACGGACGAAACGAGCGACGACAGACAACGAGAAGCGACGACACAGAGAAGCAACGTTAAAAACCCTGTTGTTCGTACTTGCTCCCGTCAATTAGAAAACGAAGTGAAGATGACGTAAATGAAGGTGCACCACCGCGAGAGCATAAAACGGTCCAAACATCCCTTTCATCAACGGAAAGATCAGTCAACGACAACAATCAAAGAAGAGAAAATACTGCGAAGGAAGAAATACGTAGTCTTCAACTAAATAAATAAAAAGAAATAAAAGAAATAACAGCACCTATAGTAATTGTACGACGTGGCTTGCTTGCTGCTATCTCGTCGGTCAGCTTCTGTTGTTGTCGTAGGGGGCACTTTCCCACCCACGAGTACGGAGTTGGGCGGAGTGAAGAGAGAGGAAAAAAAAAACGTGGTGCAGCGCGAAGATAAGCATGGAGAAGTCCATAGAGCCTCGAAACACTCCTATATATATATATATATATGTTTTTACCTGAGTAACAAAGAAAATGAAAAGGATGTGGGTTTGTTTGTATGTTTTTGTGTCTTCTTTGTTTTTTTGATGTTTGCGGGTCACGTGTGTGTGTGTGTTGTTTCTTTGATATACGGAAAGAACCAAATCGTGATCCGCAGCTTAAAAAAATGCCTCAACGTTAAAGAATAAGAAGGGTGTTGGAGGTATAAGTACATTACCAGGGGATAAGAAAACACAAAAGGGTTAGGGTTGGTTCATTCGACCTAAGGAGGGAAAGAGAAGTGGAGGAAGAGAGACCACAAAGCCGCAGCAAAAAGAGAAGAGAAGAGAAGAGAGAAAAAAAAACGCTTCACAGTTACACACGCACACACACAAACGGTAGGTATCACAGCCGCTTCCTCCTTCAGAAAGCTCACAGGGCTTCTTGTATAGACATGCGCGAGAGGGCGATTTCCCTATGAAAACGTCAAGAGCAACCGCGAAAAGAGAGGGGGACAATCGTAATACAAAGGAGCAAAACAAAAACACGCGCTGTGTACGCGATATGACATGGCGGGAGTACAGCAGCAAACGAGTACACAAAGAACACGTACACTGAAAAGATAAACTTCATGGATAAATCTTTAGAAAAACTGAAAGGGGGAATAGAGCTGGAGGAGAGAGAAGAAAGTAGAGAACGTAATCGAAAGGTAGGAGAGCACGTGAAGAAAGATTATATATTTAACTTTATAGTTCCGAATCACAATAATAATAGTAATAGTAATAGGGGGGCTGAAGTCCAGTGAATCGAGAAAAGGAGGGAGAAAAGAGGGGAAGGCGAAAGATGCAGTTGGCCTACAAGAGGGGAAAACCCTCTTCTTTTTAAAGCTCAAAAGATGACGTTGGCCGCCGGCATCTGAGGAGAAGTCAACACCATGTACACGACGTTGTCGGGGCCCTGCACGACACCGCGTCCACTCGGGATGGCCACCAGCATTGTCTGCGCCGGGTGCCGGGGTTGGTTGCTGCCGCCGTTCGCCACCAAGTACGTCGGCGTGGCGGAGTAGAGAGAGGGGAAGGGCTGCGGATTGGCCGGAATGAAGTGCGGCGACACGTTCAGCGACCCGCTGCCGGGAGGCGACTGCAGCGCCGCACGCGGGGGCTCGACGAGGGCCGCGCCAGCCCCAACACCGACGGCGGCAGCGGCAGAAGGTGCGCAGTCGCCGAGTGGCGCACTGGCCGCAGACCGCGCACGGCGCACCTGAATTCTGCTGCCGCCCACGACGTGTCCAATCATCTCCGACCGCGCCATGGCGGCGTCGTCGACGCGCTGGAAGAGCACGAAGCCGTAGCCCTTGCAGTGGTGCGTGCCCTTGTGGCACATGACCTTGGCCGACAGGATAGGGCCGAAGCGCTTGAACAGCTCGTGGAGGTCGGCATCGGTGAACCAGTCCGGCAGCGAGGCGACGTAGAGGTTGCTGTCGAAGGCCCGCGCGGCTGGGTCGCTCGCCTGCAGCGTCACGCACAGCGAGTCGTTCTTCATGGGCGAGATGTTCTCGTCGTTGTCGTTGCCGGCCAGGTTTGGATCGGCGATACTCCGCTGGGAGGCAGAGAAGCCTCGCAGCGACAGCGCCGGCGTGGTGGCACTCGCAGTCGTCCACGTGTTCTCGGAGGAGATGCGCTGGTGGGCAGCGGCGGTTCCGGCGGACAGCGTGGGGACCGTCGGCGGCTCCCCGGCGAGGGAAAAGGCATCGAAGCCCCAGTTGGCGTTGTTGCCGGCGAGAATGTCGAAGCTCAGAGTCATGGCGATGTGTGGTACTGTGTGTGCGTGTGTGCGTGGGTGTGGGTGTTTGGGTACAATCTTCAGACTATACGATGAAGAGAAGAGAAAGAAAAGAGATATTTATTGTTCGTTGGGTTGAACAGCAGACGGTTATTGTTGGCGAGCAACGAGAGAGGGAATCGTCAAATCTGAGGGTTTTGCAGCCGGGGGGAGACGCATTCAAGAAACGTTCGCATTGAAATGCGCGGCGGAGGTGCGGGGCGAAAGAAGAACGAAAGCGGCGACGCCACAACGCAGCGAGTGAGCAGAGCCGCCCAAAGCAAAGAGAGCAAGAAGAGGAGAGAGGGAGAGGAGGGTGAGGAATAGAAATTGTTGTTCACCGAACTAGAGAGAGAAACAAACACGCGTATGTGCATGTGTGGTCCCGAGATTGAAAGAGAAAAGAGAAGCCAAAGAACCAAGTAGATTCAGCAAACAGGTGTGCTTCTTTTGCTGTGCTCGCCGTGCTTTATTAGGAGATTTCTGTAGGTATTATCTTTTTTGGTCTCGAGTGATCAAACACCACCAAAAGACGGTCACTGATAGTGCTGCTCCGAGCTGCCGTCCTCTGACGAGCCTCACATTTTAGCTTCACCACCGGTGCAGTACGGCTGTGCCTTCTCTGACTCGTGGTACGTGCCGCGCGCGTCGTCCGTTTTTTCCCCTTTCCTCGACGCTCCCCTCCGTGATGGGGCGCGCCGGCACACGTCAGGGACAATTGCGCCGGCGAGCACCACGCCTCGCACGAGACCCGAGAAGGAAGGCACGGAGAAGAACATAACGACACCCGCTGAGAGGAAAAGAAAAAACCGCCAACACGAAGAACTTCGTTTAACGTACACGTGTCAACGTGATGCGTCGCTGCAGACGTGGTATTGCGTAGCCTCGCACATCAGCAGACGAAAGAGTACAGCGCGAGTAGGAGGTTGGAGCAATAACGCAACGTAGAGCTCGAGAGAGGAGCTTCTCCGAACATCGTTCGTTTACGTTCGTCAGCGAAGTGATTAAAGGGGAAAAAAAAAGATAGAAATACGTCGTATTACTCGGAGAAGAAAACCCCAGAAGTGCTTACATAGGTTTTACGTTTCATATTAAAGGGAATTGAAGAAGATGAAAATAAAAATGAAAGAAAAAGAAGAAGAGAAAAGCGCTCGCGGTGAACCTTAGAGCAAGGCAAAGCATTTTACATCACAGCAGTGTACGAGAAACCAACAAAACATCCTGCACTTAACGTAAAAAAGTCGAACAGCACAAACAGCAATTACTCTGCTGGTAGGTGCAAGCACCTAGGCATTCCTGTGTGTGCGTCGAAGCAGCGAAGAGGGAGTTGGGGCATCCCGGGCCTTTACACTCCTCCCTTCTTCGTTGGCTCACAGAAAAACGGTGCTAGTCATCAAACTCTCACCTCATCTAAACTATCACTGCACTGTCGGTGCCGAAGTCCGTGCTTCCTTCAAATGACGTCCTTTGTCGTGTGAGACACGTTGTTTGGATCTTCACGTAAATCACACCTTCGACACCCACACCAACAATAACAAAAAAAAAGTTTGTTACATAGAAACTGAAGAGAAGAAAAAAAAAAGGACAAGAGTGAATGGAATAGGAAGGGGGAGGGGGAGGGGGAGAGAGAAGAAAACATATAGAGAGTAGGAAACAATCAAATAAACTCGAACGAGCATGAAAAGAAAAGGACAGCAAAAAGAAAAAGCCCAAAAGGAGAGCTGCTCTCTGTGGTTTCTCCTACGGGAGTGGATCAGGAACATCTTCCCATCGCATGCAGCTCAAAGAACTGGATCAGCACTGATAATAATAATAATAATAATAATAATAATAATAATAATAATAATAATAGTAAAACGTATTAAGCTTAAATGCGCTCAATCCAACCATTAACACCGTACCACTCGTTTTTCGCTTTCGGTGCGGTTGTTCTCTTTTGTTTTGGAAAATAAAACCGTTAAGAGGGAAAACACATAAATATAAATATATATATATCGGTGTATCCACCACATCTGGCGCACAGGAAAAGGAAAAAACGGCAAGACTTTTAAAGCCTTTTTTTGTTTGTTTGTTTGTTTCCACAGCTCTCTGCCTTCACGCGCGTCATTCCGCTAGGCGAACCCGCGCTGCCGAGATCGTGCACAATCCGATCGGCAGCGAAAATCAAAACTAACGAAACAAAAAAAAAGAAGAAGAAAGAAAGCAAAACCGCTATTAAAAAAGAGACAACAGAAAAGGCATCGTGCATCAGTGTACGCACGATTCGCCAGAGTTATATAACGTGCATTATAGTTGAAGCGACTGGAAACTAGGGAAAGCAAATTAACCGCATTGGCGAAAGGAGAAGGAGAGAGTATTTTGAGAAGGGCATCGTGGTAGATCAAAGTATATAGAACTACGGAAAGTGGCAAGCATCGTTCTTCTTCGTCTTTGATCATTACACTCGTCGCCGATGTTATACAAGGCAGAAGCGGGGACGAGGGGGGAGAGCCCAGAAAAATAGGCCGTGACGTCGCGCACACAGAGAACACAGCAACAACAGAGAAAGGGAAGCGGGAGCCTTTGAAATTGAGCCTTAAGGAACACAACAAAGGAAGAAAAACAGGAGAAGGAAGAATGCACGAAGATAAAGGAGTACCTCAATGAGGAAGGAAAAAGAAACAAGATCTGGCAACAAGTCGAAATCAAACTGCTAAAGAAAAGAAAAAGACTCTCATATCATCGAAAACAGAAACAGCTCACTGTACTGACGTCGGGAAACATCAGCGCTGACACACATTGTTTCGCTGAGAAGAGGTCAGCATCTGACAAGTTGTACCGATCGTTTTTCTCCTACACGTAGCTTCGGCTTTGTGCTCCCAACACAAGTCTTCTGTTCATTCGACATCTACAAGGAACATCCAGCAATAACAAACGTAAAACCGGGAATGAACTGTTTCGCACGGACGTACGACGATGATAGAGAAAGTGAAGAGTGAACACCAAAACGGCGTCTAAACGAGGCATAAAAAAGGAGAGAAAAAAAACTGATCGTCTCCTTCTACAGGAGAACGTTGATGTGATGTGATCATACGTTTTTTTGGACTTTTTTTTTGCAAGTATAACACGCGACTACACGGAGAAGTGAAGAAGCTTTAAAACGGAAGAGAAAACAATAAAAAGAAGAACACGTTATACATATTTAATTCTTATGCTTGCCGGAAGAAAACGAGCAGCGCCGTAAATATAACACTTGCACGAAACAAATTATACTTGTGCTTCACGACAACAACACCAGAAAAGGAGCTTCGTTGTGCTGCGTGAACAGTTTTAAAAGAAACATTAGAATATTTACAGTAAAGCGTGTTAGGGGAGGAAAACCGATGTCGCAGGCCTTCTTGAGGAGTACAACAAAGTTATAAGAGGGAGAAAGCACGGTAGTTTAGAAAATAAAAGATTTTCTCTGTCTCAGTATTCTCCATTTCCACAACAGAGTTTATGAAGCTATCTGTAGAATAGAAATAATAGAGGTTGTATAACGGCGAGATAAAGTGTGTCTCTTATCACACATTGCGAGGGCGTTTTCGGGTGAGAATAACACCCAACAGTGAAGAAAGAAAAATGGAAACACTTTGTGACTGTCGAGTTGCGACAGAGACAACTGCAGATCAAACATGCCATTCGATACGATTTCTTTTTTCCTTTAAAGATGAAAAGAGTGTGTGTGTATGTGTGATGCCTGTGCGCTCTGTACACACGCAAACACAGATAAAGAACAGAAAAAAAAAACACAAAACAAAAATACTCCTACAAGCACACTACCGTAGAAAGGGTGGAAAAGAGAAAAGTGAGAGAAACAAAAAGGTAAAAGACCTGCTTTTCGGATTATGTGTCGTTGTCGATCAGCTTTAACGGCTCTGATGAATGCCCGACGTGCGAAGAGGTTGTTTTGGTTTTCCCTTTTTGGCATCCTTCCTTTTTCTTTGTTTGGAGAGGCGCTGCCTCCTCACACAGGCGAGTCTACTGCCCACTCCAACAGGAAAAAAAAAAGGCTTTCATCAATCACAAGCGTATTGGCCGCACACAGAAAGCACGTTTGGATGTACGTCGTAGAAGGCGATTTACCTCGAGTGAAGAGAAAGATGCGAACCTACACGCCAGTGATAATGCGCGTCTTGCCTGCCACCAGTTGTGGTGCTTCGCAAGGCGAAACACACGCCTGCGCGCAAAAACGGAGGAGTGTGTACGCTGTGCACACCTACGCGGTGGCGGCTGCGTCTTAGATGTTTTGAAAAGACAGCTGATTGAACTGCACGATGTGCCGCTCACCATTCGGGAGCACCATGAGGTGCATCGGCTGTTGCGGCGGTGACGAGGAGAGCTGCGGCAGTATCGGCTGCAGCGGACTTTGCGGCGCAAAGGCAGCTTGCATTACACCGCTGTTCGCTGCCACCACCAGCGGTGAGTTCAAGAGGGCGCCGTAGTTCTGATGGAGCGCGAAGGTCGTCGCTCCCGGCTGCGGCGGTGGCTGCTGCTCGTACTGCATCGTCGGCGCAATAAGCATGTACGCCTGTGACTGGATTTGAGGAGTGTATGGATTGGTGGCGATGGACACCACGTGCGCGTTTGGGACAGCCGCCGTCGCGGTCGTGGTGATGGCGGCAGCCGCGCTCGCCGCCGGCGTCGACACGCTCGGGAGCGCAGGGGTGTGCGACACCTTACTAAACGTCGTGGAGGCGTCCGCGCTGGCCCACCGGACCTGGATGCGGGAGCCCCCGACGACGCGGCCGTGCAGCCCCTGGATAGCCTGCTCGGCTGCACTCACCTCCCGGTACATGACAAAGCCATACCCCTTCGACAGGTGCGACTTCTTCGCCCGCATGATACGTGCCGAAATGATGCGACCATAAGGGGAGAAGAGGTTGTGCAGCTCCTGATCGTCGAAGTTCATCGGCAGACTGGCAACGTACACATTGCGGTTCTGCCCCGCCGTAAAGGCACTCGCGTTCCGGGGGAAAATCGCCGTGCTGATCATCGCGAGACGCGACGGCGCGACGACAGAAAACGAAAACGAAAACGAAAACGAAAACGAAAACGAAAACGAAAACGAAAACGAAAACGAAAACGAAAACGAAACGAACGAAAAGAGAAGAAGAAATAAAATGCAGTGAAGTTCAGATTTGGACAACAGCGAAAAATAGAAACGTATTGAAGAATGAATTGGCGGCACCGGCGCAGAGAGAGAGGTGGGGGCCAGAAAACGAAGAGAAATAAAAACTGGCGTACGTACAAAAGCGTGTGGGGATACGTGTCTACGGTGAAGGTGCGCAACGCGCAAAGACGGTCACACACGCGCAATGAAAGGGGAAAAGTAAAAGCGAAGAGGCGGTGAAACGAGACGAAACGAGGAAAAAATAATGCACGGCGAACTGCGTCAACCACAACGAAGAGCGAAATGTGCGTGTGTGTGTGTTTCCGTGAACGTAAGACGACGTCAACGAAAGAGGATCACGCTGCGTGGTGTGTTCGTGGAAGGGAAACAGAGGAGGTGCGCGTGTGAGGTGTTGTGCGAGTTCGCGAATTTCACAAGAAAAATTGACGGCACAATGGCGCTTGTCGAAGATGAGGAGCAAGACAAAACGGTAATGCCAGTCTTTATAGGCGAATTGCACACCCGAGGTAAACGGCGGCGGTTGAAGGAACGGCAGAGAGCAGCAGGAGAAGAAGTGGAAAGGAGTGATGTGCGTGTGTTCATGTTTGCTAAAAGAAACCGCGGAAGTGATGTGCGCGGCGCAAGAGGAGAAGATGCTCTCCGTCTTCCCGGAGTAGCTGAGCGCCGCATCGGACAAAACTGACCAAGAACAAATCTCCGCGAATCGTCAAACACGCATCGACACAATTCGGCTCTTACGGCTTCTTCAGGTGGCGCCAGAATGGTTCTTTTGTGCAGCAAACAAAAAAGAAGCAGTTATGTTCATGGCAAGCCCCTGTTATTAAGGCATTGTAACGCTGCCCCCGAAAACTCCAAAAGCGGAAATAAGAAGCAAATTATTTAAAGCCAATAGCTGCTGGCGCACCGCATCGATACACCCACATTACGTACATTTTTACGCTACCGCTTGAGCGGCTTCACGAGCGTGCAGTCCTGAGGGAAATGCCACTGACCACAAATGAAGCAGCGAACCGGCGGCCCGCCCTTGCTGTGCGCGCTGTTGTGCGGACAATACCGCGAGACGTGTCCCGTCTCGCCGCACAGGAAACACGATTTGTTGGTCTTGAAAGGCTGGTCGTCCGGGACGGTCGGCTGAGCCGCGACGGCTGCGGGGGCGTCGGGTACGAGCGGCTCCGTCAACGGCGCGCGTGGCTGCCGGCGGTCGACGATGGTAAGAGCCCCGGCACGGCCGCCGTCTTCCTTCAACAGTTTCACAATCGCGCGCACGACGACGCTGCTGATCGACTCCCACGACTTGGACGGGTCGTTGATCTTCTGTGTCAGCGCAGAGTCCAGCTGTGTCTTGAGGTGCGTCAGGAGCGTTGCGTCGTCCTGTCTGCACTTGAAGGCTGTCATTTCATCGACGCACAGCTCCTCGTATTTCGGCAAATATTCCAAGTTGCCGCTGCCAAAAAGAATGACGTGGAGGGGGGCCACCACGGAGACCTCGCGCAAGAAGGTGGCGGACGTCTTGACCTTGTCCACGTAGACGACAAGCGGGGAGCTGAACGACGTCTCCTTCCCTGCCACGCTGGATGGGTGGATGAGGCATTCTGAGCCGTCGAAGGTGCTGAACTTCACGGCAGGACGACCGCCGAAGCTGTGGCCCGGCCCACCACCACCACCACCGCCCTTCGGTCCGCGCCGCACCCGCAGCCGGGCCACGTTCGGGTACAGCCCCGCCACGAGGCATGCCAGGATGCAACGGCTGCTGCTCGAGTTGTCGTTGAAGAGCGGCCCGCCCGCCTCAAACACGCGATCGTCCATCGTCGTGAAGGGCGGGAAAACAAACTTGTTCGGCGAGACGCGGCTGCGGTTGGCGTTGTCGATGAAGCCCGCCTCGACGAGGTAGCGCTCGTACTGCCGCTTCGTGGACTGGATCTGCTGCAGGGCCGCGGGAGACAGGTAGCACTCCTGGCAGATCTTCCGCGCGGCGCCGGCGCCTTGATGCTGCACCGCCGTGGCCCACTTGTTGTACGCGAACCACGACGCGAGTTGATCGGACAGCGTCTCCCCGGCGAAGGCGCGGCGCATGTTCTCCACCTCGGTGCGGAAGTCGATGGAGGCGATGAAGGGAGAGCGGGAGGCGAGGCAGGCGGCCATGGTCAGAACCGGGTCGATGCACTGCAGCAGTGCACCGTGGATGATCATCTTGCCCACCCGCACATCCAGCGGTAGATTCGCGAGGTGCTGCCCCAGAGAGGTGAGACGCTTCTCGGCCGTCAACGCCCCGAGCGTCGTGAGCACCTTGACGCTGCTGTGGATGGCGCGCTCCTCCGGTGGGGAGAGGGCCTTCTGCAGATACTCGACCTCGTCGCCGAGGTGGAGAGCGTAAATCTGCAAGATGAGACTCTCCAGCGGCACCCGGTGCATCTCGCAGAGCTGGTGGTCCTCGAAGGCGTCGAACTGGGCCCCCGTGAAGAGGCGGAAGCAGAAGCCCTCCTGCACACGACCGGCGCGACCTTGTCGCTGGCGACAGTTCGCCTTGGAGATGTTCACCGTGACCAACTCCGAGAGGCTCTTGCGAGCGTTGTAGCGGTTCTCCTTCGCCTTGCCGGTATCAATCACGAACACGGCGTCGTCAATGGTGATGGAGGTCTCCATGATGTTGGTGCCCAGAATAACCTTGCGCTTGCCGGGCGGCGGCTTGCGGAACACCCCCTGCTGCTCTGATGAACCCAACGAGCTGTGAAGGTTGTAAAAGAGACACGCCTTGGCGAGACGGGGATTGTAGGACAGCTGCTCCATGCACCGCTGTATCTCCGCCATGCCGGGCAGGAACACCAGCACAGCGCCAGGAATGCGGAGGGCGTTGTCGATGTACTCCACGATGTACTCTATAAGCTCGTAGTTGATGACATCGAAGTTCATGCGGGCAAGAATGTCGAGCGTCTTGGGCGACGCCTTCACCACGCGGGCCAGCTTCTGCTGCTCCCTCTCCCGCTCCGTGTCCTCCTCGACGTCCTCCAGGTCGAGGTTCAGCACATTCTTGCGCGTGTTGCGGCGACGCGTCTCCTTGTCCCCGCTGATCTTCTCGTACGGCGAGGCGTCCTCGAGGGTGTACTGCACCTCTGGAATGATCTGCTCCAGGTGCATCACCCTCACCGGAAAGGTGCGGCCGGCGATGGAGATGACCGGGGCACCGTCGAAGTAGCGGGCGAAGAGCTCGGAGTCCATCGTGGCGCTCATCAGCACCACCTTCAAATCCGTCCTGCGCCGCACCAAATCACGCAGGAGAATCAGCAAGAAGTCCGTGTCGACGCCACGCTCGTGGATCTCGTCCACCACAACGTGGCTCACACGACCAAGAAACTTGTCCGTCTGCAGCCGCCGCAGCACGATGCCGGTGGTGAGGTATGTGATCTGCGTCTTCTTCGACACGCAGTTCTCGAGGCGGATGCTGTAGCCGACCGTGCCGCCCACCGCCTCGTCGCGCTCCTCGGCCACGCGCAGCGCGACGGAGGTGGCGGCGAGACGCCGCGGCTGCGTGCACAGAATATTCGCCGCACTGCCGTTGCCCTCCTCGCACATGAACTCGTACAGGAACTGCGGGATCTGCGTCGTCTTGCCGCTGCCCGTCTCACCGCCAATGACAACGACATTGTGCTGCTTCAACGCGCTGCGCAGCGTCTCACGAACGTTGTGCGCCGGCAACGAGTCGCGCGACTTGCGCAGCGTCCCCTCCTTCCGAAGCTTCTGCCACGACGCCTTCAGGGTGGCGTCGAGCGCAGCATCCTTCAGCAGAAACTCCCGGCGCTGTGTGTCGCGGATGATGCTGGCCGCGTCGACGGTAGCCAGCTCCACCTTCTCCGGCATCGACACCTGAATGAAGCGGTCTTGTTCCTCGTTGTCATCGGCGTCGTTCTTGCTGCCGTCGTGTTTGCCCGTCAGCGCACTCATGAAGGCCTTGCGCTGCTGCTGTGCCTCTGCCCGCTCCTTCAGAATTGCTGCGCGGTCCTGCTGCGGCGTCGGGGAGGCCGGCTGCGATTCCTCCTGAGAGGTGACAGCGCCGTGAATGGCGGAGACGAGGGCCAGGAGGCAGCCAGTGCCCACGAAGCCGTTGATGGCGTTCACCGCCGCGTCCATGATGGCCCGCCGGTTGCTGGCGGAGATGTCCTTGGTGCACGAGGGCGCGACCACCAGACTCGGCGCCGCGTCCGTCGTGCCAGAGCGCAGCGGTTGAATGTGGACGGAGGGCGTCTCTGCCGGGTAGAAGTCAGGGAAGCGGAGGACAATTAGGACTTGCTTGTCCGCGGCGGTGCGGAAGCAGAAGTAGACCTCGCGGTCTTCGGTGTCGCCATCGTCGAAGTGGCTGCGCCCCAGGAAGCTGTCGCTGAAGAGACTCTCCACCGTAGTCATCTCCTCCTCCAGCATCGCGTCGCCTTCCTCAGGGGTGATCTTGTCGTCGGTCTCCTCACGCGAAAACCACGTCATGCAGTTGAAAAGCTCAAAGCTGCTTCGAACTAAGAACGGCTGGAAGGCGCCCGTTTCGTCTAGCAGCTCCGATACGTCGGAGAAGGCAGGCACCTCGTTGGCTTCGGCGAGGTCGGTCAAATACTGCGTCACGAGGTCGCGTGGAAATCCAAGGCCTTCGTAGAGACGCTGGAGGATCTCCGACGGCGTCAGCGGCGAGTTGCGCTGAAAAGTGATGCGGGAGCCGATTTTGGCGTCAAAGTGCTTCTCTGGCACCGGCACGCTGCCACCACTCGCAGCGTGGTGCAGAACATCCACAATTAAATCGCGACCGGCGTTGGTGATCATGGACGGCGTCGCTTTGGCCGGCGCCGGTGCAGGGGCGGCCCCCCGGCCACGTCCTCGGCCGCCTCGGCCGCCACTCTGCGGCTTTCTTTGGCGATTTGGGCCCATGTTTTGCAGCCACAGACACGCACACGCACACGCACACACGGGATTAAAAAGTTAACGTGTGGACCTGCTCGCGTTTCTGCAGAGGTGTTCTGCAAGCGATGCCAGCAAAACAGCGAAAAACTGAGATGTTTATGATGGATGATACACCACAACCGTGTGACAACGAAGAAGAAGAAACGTGACAGAATTCACAAAGAGGCAAAAAGAGATAGTCCGTAGAAAGGGGGAAGCAGGAGCACGTGCGGCGAAAAAAACCCAAGCACTCCTTTCATCTTTTAATATTCTCCAGTAAACAGTTACGTACGTGTGCTTGGCAACGTGCGAAAGTTTACGTCACCACGCACGCATGTGCAGAGGAGCATACCTTGCTCTGACGCCAAGATGTGATGCCGCAGCGCAGCGACCCGTCTGTAAACTCCTTTGCACTGCAGACACACACGCAGCTGCGATAGATGGGCCAAGAAGCCCAAAAAGCACAAACAGGTCTGCGCACCGCATCCTCCCCTTGACTTTAAGAACAGAGATGTCTTTTCTTTTTCCGAAGAATGAAGTGGCTGTCAATACCTTTAGAGAGATCAAACAATAATAATAATAGTAAAAATAGCGCTTTAGAGCAAAAGGAAGGAGCATAAGCAAGAAAATGAGAAACGAAGAGAGCGCAATTATGAACCTGATTCCCACTGAAATGCGAAGAGGAAAGATAAAGTATATATGGGTTATATGAGTGGCAACGTGTTCTCTGTATTCTGCTTCCACGTGTACATTATGGTACGGGCGCCTCTGCACCCTCGCCATTTCGATAGAAACACGAGAACGACGGAAATACAGACGGCTCTTTTCACTTTTCATTATTTTCTTTTTGGGAATTTGCAAAGCTCGGTTATTCCTTTGATTTTTCCGGGGAAAACGAAAAACGCCGTAGTGTTGTTGTTGCTTTACTGCGTTCTGTCTTCGTGTTTACTTGACGTCAGAGTGCGAGGTGGCCTCCGCCAGAGGTAAAAACTTCTGTGAGGTAACTGCTGTTTTCTTCCTTGGTCAAAAAAAATTTTTTCCTGTCAACAAAACTGTGTTCTCTATTTTCACTGCGGCAGTGTAAGTCAGAGTTGAAATAAAGGGGTATTTGAAATAACGTAAGATAAGCGAAAAGTAGTTGAAGTTAGTTGGAGAATCGAAGCCTAAATTCACTAAGTTCTGTTTTCTTTTTGAGAAAAAAAAATATATAAATATATATTTATATATTTATATATTGTAGGTACAAAAGAAATTATAAAGCATAGGGTTTTTTTTTGTTGAGGTTGTTGCTTGTGGTTGGTCTTCTCTCTCCAGAGCCTTCCCTTGCCGTTCAGAATCGTCACTTTATGCGAATTCGTCCGTGCAAGGCGTCGGAAAAGAAAAGATAAAATTTTAAAGCAATTTATGAAGCACTCGTTAACCCTGCACCGCCGACTGCTGCTGGGAGTACATCGGGGACGGCACATACATGACGTAGACCGGCTGGTACGGCATGCACGCACTCATCAGCTGCTGCTGCATCATCGCGGGGTACATCTTCTTCGCAGAAGCCTCCGGGCGAGCCAGGCGGACCTGGACACGCGTGTTCCGGATGGAGTGACCCTGCAACGCAATGACGGCGTTCAACGCATCTTGCTCATTCTCAAACAGCACGAAGCCGTAGCCGCGGCACAGGCCAGTGTCCTTGTCGTACTTCAGGGTGCAGGAGATCACGCGGCCGTACGGGGAGAAGAGGTCCAGGAGATCCTTCTCCGTGTAGTCCTCCGGAAGGCTGGCAATGTAAACATTGCGGCTGAAGGGAGACGGGTACGACATTGCTGCGAACGGCTGGGGCGAAAAGGTAAAAGATGAGCTGTTTCCGTTTCCGGGACGCTGGCGTCGATTCTTGATACGGAAGTAAAGAGGGCGGACGGTGAAAAGCTGGATAGCTGAAAGTGAGTGGGAGGCTTGCGTTATCTATGTGATGTGGAAGAGGTGAAGAGACATAAAGAAAGGGGAAGCGTGGAAAGGGGGAAATCAACGTAGATGAAGGCTCAAATCACAAACTGAAAAGCGCTGTTCTCGCTTTAAAATAGAGAAGGGAAGGACAATGGAAGACGCCGGAAGAACCACCATTTTATTAAAAAATAAGTCGCGAGGGCGGCACAGCGCGTAAAACGCGGAACATGGATTTCTCCTCTATTTCCTTGCTGCTGCTATTATTCGTCTCGTTTACAGGTAGTTGTGTGAAGAGACCTCGTGCGGCCGGCCACGCATACGAATAAGGGCAGAAACAAGAAATTGTAGTACTCTAAATAAGTGCCGTGCCCTGCTTGGAGTGAGTATCACTCCAGCCGCGAACGCCGTGTGTGGAGCAGATGTGAAGAGACAGAAGCAACAAACGCAAGCGTCTTTCAACGCCCACTTCGTCGATCGTTTTGAGCGGCCACACACACGAAGGAGCGAAACGGCAGCGCGTCTTGCTTCGCTTCCTTTTCATCTTTTCTCTCTCTTTCGCGTTGGGTTTTCGGCAACGTCATCGGATGGTCCAGCGGCCGCTCGTGGCTTCTTTTTGGGAGACCTCAGCGTCGACAGCTTCGGTTCACCCGCAGCTTTCGTCTCTTTGAACGCGTTGGGGCAGACGTCGCTCAGCTTGCACGCGTCACACTTGGGACGCAGTGGGGTGCAGATTGTCTGCCCGAGACCCACCAGCAGGTGGTTAACGGTGCCCCAGTGCTCGCGAGGCAGCCACGACTCGAGGGCCTTGCGCGTGTCCTCTGGCGTCTTCACAGTGCTGGGAACCCAGCCGAAGCGCTGGGAGATGCGATGCACGTGTGTGTCCACACCGATGCCGATGATGCGATGATCTGCATCTTGAAAGAATAAATTCGCCATCTTCGGTCCAACACCTGGAAAGGCGATCAGCTCGCTGTATTCTCGCGGCACGTTGCCGTTGTAATCCCTCACAATAATGTCCGCTACCTGTTTAATATGCTTTGCTTTTGTGTTGTGGAAACCAACTTTGCATATGCAGGAGTCCAGCTCTGATTCCGTCATTGCTTGGACCGACTGCGGTGTGAGCCCGCGCTGCATCAGTGTTTGCATTGCGACCGCCGTCACGCCGTCTTTTGTTTGCGCGCTGAGCATGAGCGCCACCAACGTGTGGAATCGTTGCGTTTCCTTCGACGCGGTCCGGTCGCGCAGCATGTGGCACCCGATGGTGTCCACAGGAGCTTTCAACGTCATTCGGTAGTCCTCCAGCCTGGCGTAGAGCTTGGCCCAGTCCGACGGAGGAACAAACGCCATCCGTTTCATGATGAAGATCTGCTTCTCTGTTGCTACTTAGGGAAATGGCGAACGAGAGAGGCTCCGTACTCCCGGCTGACGAGCAAGTCAAATTGCAACATTCAAAGTTTGCACAGTAGATCGAGGAGAGCGGGAGAAGTTGGGACAACGAATGAGCAACTGTAGAGAAGCACAGTGTGAGACACCCGACGATGAGAGCCCGCAGAGACGGTGCATTTAGAGAACGTCCGCCAATTGCAAATGTGGACTATCCCAGTCAGAAAAAATAGCGCAGGAATTTGATCGCGTTAATGCTCGAGTTAACAAGTACGCCTTACTGATTTGCAATGCCGTGTTCATGCGTCAAAGACGTCAAAAACAGAACAGCTGTTTCTTGCCTTCCCATTTGTGCTGCGATTTGTGCATTCAACGCTCTTCTTTGCACCGTAGGCGTCCCAGCAAAAGCAAATAAAGAACGCCCGAAGGAAAGGCAATAATAAAATAGACGCGCAAGACGGGCGTCGCTTACGACAAGAAGCACTAGACAGCGCAAACGAGACAACCTACTACGTAAGGCTTCTTGAGGCGTTGCCCGTGCGGGCAAAGATCTTGCACGCAGAAAACCTCACATTTCGGATATTTCGCGCGGCAGAAGTCTTGTCCCAACGTCACAAAGTCAAAGTCGAGGTCAGCCCAATGCTCGCGGGGAAGCCACGACTCCAAACACTTGCGAGTGTCCTCGGGCGTCTTCGCGGTCGGTGGCACCCACCCAAGTCGCTGCGAAACGCGATGCACATGCGTGTCCACGCCAATCCCGACTAAACGATTGTCCGCAACTGAGAAGAACAAATTGGCCATCTTCGGACCGACACCGGGAAGGGCGATGAGCTCCTCGTACTTGCGCGGCACCTTGCCGTCGTAGTCACGCAAGATGATGCCGGCAGTTTGTGCGATATGCTTCGCCTTGTTGTTGCAGAGGTTGACGGTCTTGATGCGCTCTCGTAGCTTCTCCTCTCCCATCGACTGGACCTTTTGCGGGGTGAGTCCATCTTGAATTAAGCTGTTCATTACCGGCGCACACGTCGTCTCTCTTGCCAAAGCGCTCAGCATCAAACCAACAAGCATGTGGAAGCGCCGTGTCTCTGGGTCGCCACTTTCGCCGCGCCACCACGAAGACGGATCATCGCCGTCCAGTTTGGGGAGCGAATGTCTGTACTCTCCAATACGCTTGTAGGCTACGCGCCAGCTTGATGGCGGTTGAAATACTGCAGTGGGTGGGCGACGCGACAGTGGGATCTTCATTTTCGGGTCTCTGCAAACATCAACGAAGCTTCAAGAAGGAAAAATGAGATTGCAGTGATGGAGTGCCGTTTGAAGGTGCACGCCAGGTTAAGTCTCTGCCATACGATGCGCAGCTCTGCGTGCAACAAAGGCGGAGGTCCTTGCATGTGTACCCATTAAAATCTCACACTAAGCAACAGGCGATATTGATTGCGTGATGCCTCTGTTTCCTTTAACAAAGCAATCGGCAAGCTTCAGCAGAATAAATCGAACGCTATTGTTGAGGAATACGTCATCACCGTTGAAGTAAGAAGCCGTTAGGTTTTCAAAACCTTTTTGATGATGGTTGTTGAAGACGATATGTATAGTCGAAGGGATATCTCTTGAGTAATTGATCGGGCACAGGAACGTAACAACAGCGAAGGACAAACACGCATCCAAAAAATGCGCTGGTAAGGTCAAACAAGCCGATTCCCGTGATCGCTTCCCCAACGATCCACAGTCCTGAGGGGCTCGCAGCCTCTCCAACGGGCAACAGCCGCCGCCCTACAGCTCCTCCAGTTCGTTGACATACGTATAGGACGAAAATAACACAAACAAATAGCGAAACCAAACGAGCTGGGACGCGTGACGCTGCATAGCTGCCATACTGGCCCAGAATGACGCGGGGTGTATAAGAGCTGCAAAGTTTGTCCGACTAACGTAGGTCGCTGCGAACGTTGTATAGGAAAAGGCTGCCAACGGACCGATATATTTCATAAGAAGGTTGCGCGTTCGCAGCTGCAGGTAAATGATGCCCGGTGGCATGCTCTCTTTGAGGTCGCGCACGCCGTTGTGCACGGCAACGTGGTTGGGGTGGCCTGAGATGCCGTATTTGTCAAAGGTAACGATGGTGCTGATGTTGCCAGCTTTCTGCATGTAGGACTCAATTTCTTTTCGTATCACGGTTGTGCTCCACGCGTTTCGCATTCCGTCCTGCAACTCGGAACGGTCAACTACTTTGATGTTCCGCCGCTGCACACCGAAGAAGGCGCCGCTGGCGACAAGTTCCTTTTCGCGCACCTTTCCGAGACCGTCAACGTTGCCGTTGGAGAGGCAGAGAAAGTGCACGCCGACGTTGCGGGTGCGCAGGGACGTCAGCAGCGGTGTGAAGAACATAGCTTCGTCATCGGGGTGCGCAAAGACAACGAGCACGTCGCCGCGCACAGCGGCGCCTCGCAGGTTGGACAATCTCGTCCACCGCAGCACAAAGGCGGCAGTAAAGAAAAAGAGAAACGCCAATAAAAGACTGTTCATTGCAAAAGCTGCGTAGAATTATCCGAAAAGAGAAAAGACGCTAAGCACAAGCAGAGGACCTAAATGTGGAAGGAAGACGAAAGTGATCTCGACTGCCCTTTGCAAAGACGGGCGCTCCACGTGGCTTAGACACGCCAAAAGGAGGAGATGGCAGAAGAAAAAGGTGAAACGAACCTCAGACTCATCACCGTGCTATATCCGGTGCGGTTATTAAACGGGGCACGAAGAGACGCCCTGTTGGGAGAAAAAGAAGAGGAGCACCTGCTGTTGCACGCAAACAGATGCTGTCTCGCGAAGACCTGTAGATGCAACCCGCGAAAAACTTTAATCCATCGTGGCAGCGTAATATATCGGAGAATGTTAAGAGTTTTTTTGTTTCGGACATTTTGTCTTTTGAAAGAATAAAGTTTATAAGCACTTTTGTCGCACTTCTATATCAGCATAGAAGAGCTTGAGCTACTCAAGACACATTCGCGCACCTGCGGAAACAAATAAATGCATAGCCGGAACGCTTCCCGTGCGTATTCGAAGACTAATAGAACACAAAAAACAAGGAGGAGAAACAGATGCCTGATCAGAAAAAAAAAACCCGTGACACCAAAAGCAAAGAAGTCGTCGTGGTGGCGGCGGAAAAGGGGAACAGCATAGAACAGAATGGTGGTCACGGGTTAGCGGCCGTACGTCCAAACACGGTACACCGAACAGAATCCCGATAGAAGACCCGCCGTACTCACGGCTCCCTGAAGCTTCCACTCTCTCAAATTTGATAAGGCCACAAAGATGTCCAGCAGCAGCTTTGTCTCCGTGACACAAATCCAATGAAGCTCAAAGTCGGTCCACAGCAGCTCCGCGTAGGACGTGACGTAGACGTTGTTCTGGTTACTCGCCCCATCCACTCCAACCTGCTGCGCCTTCAGCGCCTCCTTGAGCTTTTCTTTCTCGTCCGTGGTGGACGCTAACTTGCGGCGTAGCTTGTCCACGCGATCGTACTTGGACAGCAGCGAGAAGTTGTCCTTGGAGAACATAATCTCCCGTGTTGGCTCCGGGTCGGAGGCGTCGAGAATGCCTTGATAGAGGCGCAGCGTGTTGAGGAAAAGATCAATGGTGAGCACGGGAAGGCCGCAGCGGGTGGCGATGTAAATCAGTCGGCCCGCCACATTGCTATGAAAGAAACCTTTTTGCACAAGGAACGCGACGTCCTCAAAGAGCGATTTAACAAAGAGGAGGCTACGAGCGATCATGTCTAAAATCATCTGGCACTGAATGAAGAGGGCAATCCACTGGCCGCCGCTGACGGGGATGTACACGAGCTCCGAGGCCTTGATCAGCGTGACGCGCATCCGCACAAACTCACCAAAGAAACGGCCCAATCGGAACATACGACGACTGTTGATAATTGTCATGAGGTTTTTCTCCAGGCGAGAGAACTCCTCACCGGGCATGTAGTTGACGTTGAAATCTACCGAGTTCCACCACAGCCTGATGCGGATGAGGTACTGTGCCACCTTGAACACCTTGTCACGCCCTTGGTGGGTCTGCAGCAGTTGTCGCAGGCGCGTCTTGGTGGTGATGCCCTCGAACGGGTTTCGTCCTAGCACGCGCAGCGCCTCCTGCGTTCCCTCCTCTTGTTGCATCATAGTGCTAATCTGTCATACGTTGACAAAGAAAGCGGAAAGCGATACGACAAAGAGGCCAGGAAGAAAAAGATGAAGGTGGCAACAAACGTATTTTACACCGATGAAGAACTCCCAGACGACAACACAGGGAGACGCCCTGAGCAATTCGACAGTACAACGCGGCCCTGCCAAAGGAGGAACACCATTTTGCATCCTTCGTGGCGCAAATAACGACGTCGCCGAGTTGCGAGTGGACCGTGAAATCCAAACCCCGCACTTTACTTCGACAGTTCTCTTCCTTAGAGACAAGAAAGCACCCCTATCATATTTGGTCCCTTTGATTTGTCTTAGAGCTCCTTATTCTCGCACTGACACGGATTTTCGAGAAGTTCACTCCACACAAACAAAACTAAGAACGCACACACAACGCAATCGGTAACCAGTGTGCGCGAAAAAAGGTGTACCAGTTGTACCCACGCTACCGCTTTTCTTCCCATCGAGGATCCTCCTCGCTTTGCTTACGCTCCGCGCGTTCCTTTAGCACGCGTTCCAGATCCAACTCGGACGACGTCAGTAGGCGCACAAGCCAATCTGCGGAAACCGCGTTCAGCCTGCGCGTCTGGTACTCGGTGAGGTGGACAGATTTGACTCTGCCCAGCATCGATTTGAGCGCACTCCCGCCTTCCGTTGTCCCCACACCCAGCTTCGTCTGTCGGCGCGTCCTTTCCTCCCGCCGGCACCTCGCCGCGGTTCGCGGGTCCACCTTCACGCGGTACACCAGCTTCCCGCGCAGCTCCCGCACTCCGGTGACTTCGTCCGGATCGTCCGTCGCGCGCGGCGGATGACTGTTCACCGGCGGCACGAATGCCTCCCAGAGTGTGTCATCGGGAGATTCGTACTCCACGGTCGGCTGTGGCCGCGCTGCGAGTGTCATTTTCCGCTGCGACACAATTCCCTGGAAGGGCGTCTCCTCCACGGACAACTTGTCCATGTTGTAATCCTCGATAAACTGAATCCAATTGAACGTCTTTTTGCTGCAGGGCAGATAGTCGCCTACGCGGCAGTGTTCGAGAAACGTGAGGATCGGCGCTTGAGGAAACAATTCGGAGCGGCGCCTCGCTGCTTTGGAGAAGCTGAGTCCTAAAAGTCTCTCGATGCGAACCAAGGAGTTCCAAGAGGCCAGAATCCGACCTCGATGGTGCTGTCCGGCCTGTTGCTCGATCTGCTGTTCCGCGTACCCGAGAGTTTCGCGCTCGTGCCGCTGCAAGAGGTGGTACTGCGCCGCTTCACTGCCCAACAGAACTGCATCGGACGGAGAGTGGGCGCAGCAAACCATGCCGTTTTCGAGCACCTTTGCCGCCATCTTCGAGTTGTTCGCCGTCATGTCTTCCGCAGTGCACCACTGCGAATAGATCTTCCAATCGACGAGGCCCTGTTGCGCCGCCGCCTTGCCAGCCGCACGGAGTGTTTGGACTCCATCCTTGGTGACACCGTTTAACACCAAGCTCTCAGCGGCACAACGCTGTTTCAGCATCACCTCTGTGGCAGGCAACGCGTCGGCATCGGCGGAACCACTACGCCCATCTACCGCGGCGGAGACGACCGAGGCAACGTTGTCCAATGCAAACGACGGCCCTGCCGCGGCGAGGCAACTCTCGATGGTCTTCTTGGCGGCCTCTCTGTCCTCCAAAATGCGGAGCTGAAACAACGCGTACTGGTACCAGCATGAATCATCAGCAGGCAGCTGGCAACACATCTGACGCATAGCCAACTCGATCCGACGAAGTTGCAGGTCTCTAGCGAGGACACCGCTGTCAAGACCGGAAATCATGACGGCCACGTGCACCAGCCACGCACGCCGGACATTCTGGACCTCTTCATCGGTGTCAAAGCGTGCGTACCGATCAGGCCACTTTTCGTGAAGCGCCACGGCTGCTACCCGCTCACATTCATCTTCTGCAATGACTTCTCTCGTACCGTTCTGCTCTGCAAAAGCGCGGTATTCAGCGTACAGCTTCTGCCAATTGTATAAAGGAACAGAGAGACCAAATTCATACAAATTCATTCGTGACTCCGAGGAGCCGCAGCAGTTAGCTGCCTTTACCCACAACGTCACGCTCAGCGGATCGAGACCAACGGCTTGCACTGCTGCCAAAGCAACCTCTTCCGAGATAGTCACATTGTTGCGCTCCGCAAAACTAAAATAAGCCTCCCAAGAATCGCAAAAGATAGCGTCATCTACGAGGCTCACGACTAGGTCTCGCTGCTCTGCTTTATCGAGTGACTGCACGTACTGAGCACTGAGAGCCGATTTGGGAAAGTACCGAATAAAGTCTCTGACCTCCATGGTTCTTCTAGCAAGCCAATAACTCTGGATGAAAATAATTAAAGAATAATTAGCAGAGGAAGAAGAGAAATAGAGAGACGCATTAAGACCGCATGGTGAGAATGCTAGAGCGATTTCACCTACCTTTCTTACATATTTCTCTTGTGCTTGAAAAACGCCACCAATGACTGGCAATTGATCGAGTGAAACCATAGTTGGAAAGACGAAAGAGGAGAAAGAAAAAAAAAATCTGCTAATCGTTCAGCATTCGTGGAAGTATTTTTATTGTCGTTTGGGTGAATTGACGAGAATCTAAAGAGTAGTAGCGGTTTTTTCTTTTTTAAGTCTCAACACGAAGGCTCTAAATGAACTTCTAAATACAGCAGCGAAACAACCACGAAAGTCGCCTCGCCTACAAAGGCGGCTCAGTGGCTGTCTGGGATGGTTCCACTACAAAGTAGCCTGAGGGTCCACTGAGTAGCCAACTAAAGGATGTCACAGATTCAGAATACTGTTGCATCCTTTCAACGAATTTGCGGCGATCGTACGGTGCTCCGTCCTGTGACAACGTTGCCCTAGACTCCTCTGACGTGTTCATTTTTTTCCTGTAGTTTGGCAAGACTAACGGAAAACAAACACGTACAGCTGGTGTGTATGCGCGGGAAAATGAGGAGAGAAAGAAGCAAAGCCGTTAAAGAACCTCCACCAGAAATACAGTAAACAACTGTAGGTACTACGTCCCTGTTCATAACGCATGAAAACACGGTTTAAACTGTCACAGAGCCAAACGGGAAAGATTGTTGCTGTTTCGCTGCTTTTCTGCATCAATTATTTGATGGATAACAGCATGTACACCGAGCGGACTAGAACAATCTCTATTACTGTTACTGTTGACCTTGAGTTAGTTTGCTGGTAGCCCATTATTGGAGATAGAAAAAGAATAGTTTTGTTGCTAAAGAACTTTGAGAATAATAATAAAAAGCATCGACTTCTAGTCACTATAACCTAGTACGTGTACTCCTTACCGGTGTAACCCGCCCAGCACTCAAACTCCTTCACGCCGCAATCACGGTTCAGACCGTTGTTACCCCAGCCAAACATGAACGAGCCACCAGGGAAGCGGCGGTGACGAATGCGCGCAAAAGGGTTCTCAGGGCCTTTGTAGGTGATGTAATGGTGGGAGTGGCGGAGCTTCTCGTACATAATCCAGATGACAGCGAGCATACCAAGGGCGGCGAAACGGCTGCTGTGACGGAGACCGGGCATGTTCGTCGGGTTGAACAGCGGATCATCCGGCATGGGAAGGCGACCGGTACGGCAAGAGGCCATTTTCCTAACTAAACACTATCCTTGTAATTGTATTTTTAGAAAATATATAGGAGATGCACCGCTATGGATGAAGAAAAAGACACTTCGTACGCAAAGATTACCAGTAAACAGTGTGACAAAGTAAATAAAAACTTACACATGTAACACACCCCAGAAGACACCAATGTCAAGTATCATTATCAAAGACAGCAGAGAAAAAAGGTTATCAGAGAAAGAGGACTATGCGCTTCCTTGGCAGCAGATAGGTTTTCTTTTTCATAGATGCATACAGTTATCACAATAAGCTTCGCAATTTAACAAAGCAGACTCCTATGGTTCTTCGTTCCGGGATTTTCTGAGAAAAAGCTCGTTCCACAAAGAGGTTCATTTTTGCCGCGCGCGCCTTACTGACATGCACACCGATGAGAAGTGGAGCCAACTGATAATGAATCACTAGCATCACTTCTTTTTTTTTTTTTTGCTGGACGTTCCTTGTTGCTTTTCAGAACGAAAAGAGTAAACATAAATGAACTTTAAAAAATATGATTTTGATTTCATCCTCTGACGAAATTGAAAACAAAAGATGCTAGATTGCCTAATATCTACCTAATCATACTACAGAAAGCAAGGGAAGAATATATTTAAAAACTAGTACGTGTACTCCTTACCGGTGTAACCCGCCCAGCACTCAAACTCCTTCACGCCGCAATCACGGTTCAGACCGTTGTTACCCCAGCCAAACATGAACGAGCCACCAGGGAAGCGGCGGTGACGAATGCGCGCAAAAGGGTTCTCAGGGCCTTTGTAGGTGATGTAATGGTGGGAGTGGCGGAGCTTCTCGTACATAATCCAGATGACAGCGAGCATACCAAGGGCGGCGAAACGGCTGCTGTGACGGAGACCGGGCATGTTCGTCGGGTTGAACAGCGGATCATCCGGCATGGGAAGGCGACCGGTACGGCAAGAGGCCATTTTTGATAGAGGTGGGGTTTGTAGAGGTTATAAAAAATATATAAGCCCTAAGATTGCGGCAAACGAGAAAAAACGAAAAACCCGAACGGAACCAAGAAAGGAAGGGCATTGGTGTGACGAAGTTGGAAATCAAAACGAGTCGGTCATCTATAATTTACATAGTCGCAAAGAATAAGCATCTTTACGTTCGAAATTTGCACCCAGAACAGTCGCCCAAAGGCCACCGTTGCATATCTGCATCCACTTTGCGTTCAACGAGGTGGAAAAATCCTCCCCAGATCACTTTTATCCTTAACAACTTCGATTTCTTCTATAATGGTGCGGCCATTTTTCCTTATTTATCGTCTCCAATGCTAGCAAAAAAAAAAGGGTTACGCGAGTTAAGAGGAATATGTTGAGATAAACAACAAAACGTTATGTTACCTTGACCATTGCCTTCTCGGTAAAGGAATGAGCAACTATGACCTTCGTATAGTGCACAAAGACAGATTGTTTGATTTCATTCATAAATCCTTTCCTTAATTTTCCCACTAGTATTCAGTTCGGCGCATTTTTGTTTTCGGCTCCTTCATCTCGTTTCCAGCCACCTCTTTTTCATCCAGTTCGTCGATCACTGGGTCCATGTCATCCCAAAGAGCGTCTCCGAGAGCGTTTGCCTTTTCGGGTTGCTTCGTATTGACAATACCACTATAAGACGAGACTTTATCAGTGAGAGGCATCTGCTTGTCTAGAAGCAAGCAATTGGATTTCTGTTTCACATAAATGGACATCAGCAGTTTACCGGTCGGAACGTGGTAAAGACGGGCCTTTCTGTCCAGCCCCGTAACGCCTAAAATCTGATGACCAGAAGGGTGCTTTGCCATGCAGCGTACGCTTCCCACGCCGCCACGAAGCTTGGCGCGAGAGGTGAAACCACGGCGAGTGTCGTACAAATGAACATCACCGCTTGCCTCTCCGATGAGAAACTTGTTTGCGTTCCATTGCAACATCGTTGTCGGCCGGCGCTCAATTTCGCGGCTTATTTCAAACTCCTGCACCGGCCTGTCGTTCGCCCGGCGATCGTAGAAACGAACCTGATGATAGGCGGTAGAAGTAGCAAAAACGTACGGATTAATGACACAAGTTCCTGTCACGAAAACAGGGTACGGAACATCCAAAATGTGGTCGCGTACGTTGCGTGCCTTAAACACAGGAACATCGAGCTGCTGGGAGGCAAGGTCGTACACGCAAAGGTCGTTTTCGCGTCCTCCCATGGCAATCATCCCAAATTTGCGGTGAATATGTGCGGCATCAAGAGGTCCATTGGCGTCAAATGTATTTGCATCTGAAAGCTCGTTATTGAACGACGTTACCTTGCCGTCTTTTGAAAGAATAACTAACTTACCCTTTACGAACGACATCGCATTTGGTAATCCAGCAACGCAATCCGCTTTGATAGAGGAGGTGATAATTCGATCGGATAAATTGAGCAGCGAAACAACTCCATCGTTTGACGAAAAAGCAATGGACGATGTTGAGCTATCCTGCCAGCACATTCCCATTATCGCGCGCTTGCGACTCTGTTCGCCGAACGAGAACTTCAGCGTAGCGCCGCTGCTTTTTGATATGTCCCATATTTTGACAATGCCGGTTTCGTCTCCGGTGACGCAAGTCATTTTCAGGCAACAATGATGTCGTGATATTGTAAAGAAATATACAACAGCTGTACAGTATGCTCTTTTTGCCGCGCAAAAGCGGAAGGGAAAATAACAGCATGTTACATTGCGGACAAAAAGAAAGAAGTAGGATGAGGCAAAGAATAAAGTGTTCACTAATTTCCTTTTTGGAGAGCCGGTGAGAACCACATGATGTGCCGAACGCAAACCTATCCAAAAAAAAAATGCGATGCGTACGCAGAGACACAGAAAAAGCGCATTTTTCAACATCGATTCCAGTAGACGTACCGCAACAAACATAAACTACAATTGACGTTAAATTACTCTGATCATTATTCTATTTCTCTTTCCAAGCAGAGTTGACAGAATTACAGCACCACTATCAGACCCCCAAAATAAAGCAAAACAAAAGGCAACTTTTTCGCTGAATAAGCACACCATGTGTTGAGAGCACAGAAGAAAAAACGCTTATACCTTTTCCAACTCCAAATCTTTGACAAAGTCTTTCGATGAGATGGTGAGTGCGGTGGAGGCTTCAAGAAGAACCTTTTGTCGACTTAGAACGTCTATTAATGCGTTTTGACGTCTGACGTAATGGCGTAATTTTTGATTTTCAGCCTGCAGGATTGCCACTTGACTCGAACCTTGGCTGTTCCATGTAGCTAAGACAGCTCCATCGGCTTTTGCCGTTGCGACCTCCTCTTTTTCTTGTGACGAAGAAAAAGCAGCCAACTTGATACTCAGTTCGTTGACCTTTTCACGCAACACAGCAGCGTCGTTTTCGGCGTTCTCGCGTCTCGATATCTCCTCGTTCAATCGATTTTCCATCATTGTTAATGGCGAATCACCGGTCTTTGAATCACTCTTTCCGGTTATTGCTTGATCTTCTAAATGGCTCATTTTGTTTCTCTTTCGACTTCACTGAGAAGAGCGACGTAAAAGAGAGAAAAAAGAGTGGCAGAAGGTCCTGCAAAAAAAAAAAATGAAGAAGAATGGACCCAAAAAAGAGCGAGCGTTTCATGGAGAAGGAGAACTCAAATGAAAGGCAGAAATGCCTTGAAACACAACCGCTTGTACATGGAAAGCTCTTGACGCGCTTTGTCGGCCATCGGGAAAACAACCTTGTGCACTGGAGACAGGTGAAATGGGCGACTGCGGCGATTTGTGAAGGTCATTTTCTTCTCAAACGCAAAATTAAGGTATTTGACATCAGTCACGTATTTCCTACGCGTTGGGGTTCTCCGGCTGCTGGGCTGCTTTGCTCTGCGCTTTCGTTGGCGTTTGGTGTCCCCCCCCCCCTGACGCAACAACAGCACCCCCGAGACCAGAAGCCAGCAGCCAACCAAAGCCTTCCCAACGTTGCACGCCCCAATGGAGCTTCTCTTTTCTACTGTTGTCTTTCTTTATCTTTTTGTTTCCAACAAAACTGGTAGAGGAACGTGCCCGCGAGACGATAATTGCGCAGCGACCGACCCTCCTGCGGCGCAACGCGGAATATGTAAAAGCTGGGAAACCGGTGCAGAAGGTTGTCCGTTAAACTCCCGTATCGAGTTCCGCCGCTGCTCCCTTTTCAGAAGACTCTCAATGCCGCAATCAGAGCGGAACACTGCATCACCAAATGACAACTCCCAGTAGCTTGGCGTGGTGCGCATCTCAGAACGCTCTCTGTTCGACTGAAGTGAAACCACACCTCTTACCCTGATGCTGAGTGAGTTCAGTGTAACTCAAAAGGAGTTGAAAGGTCTCACTAAACTTTGGTTTTGTAGTTTCCTTGAGCACCTCAACGTGGGCGGCTGCCACCGACTCACCGACCTCAGCCCGATCAAAGGATTACAGCGACTTTCTTGGATCGACATATCCGACACCTCTGTGGCCGACCCGTTTACAACGTTTTCTCAGATGTCACAGCTGACGGAAGTACAGATGATCGGGCGCAAC